AAAAAAAAAAAAAAAAAAGAAACTAGTAAAACCACTCTGGAGGGTAAAATGGCCATATCTATAAAAATTTTAACCCAGCCCGTTCACTTACTGGACTCCACCCTCGACTAACTACTTGCAGAGTTGCACAAGGGGCACATACAAAAAGATTCTCACAAACAGTAATAAGGAAAAATTGGAAGCAACCTAAATGTCTAAAGTCAGATAAACAATCATATATCCACATCACAGACCAATCAATATATGTGCGGCAGTCATAAACAATGATGTAGAATCTACACTATAGAGTGATATGTACTGATATGAAAAGATTCCTAAGACATCGAAACAGCAGCAAGCTGTAGACAAAAGGCATGGTTAAAAAAGAAAAACCACTAGAAAATGCGGAACAAGCCTCACTATGTACACGTTTATAAACGCATAAAAAAAGGTCTAGAACAATGGTGATTTGTAATCATAGTTATACGTGGAGAAAGATCAGCAATGCAGAGATGGTCAAAGAGGACTTACTGCATTATTTAAATTTTTTCACTAAGAACACATTAAAAAATTACATGTCCAAATAATCAGGCAATAAAAATAAGTAATGAAAACATTAAGGTCATTAACACACTCTGAGTACACCTCTGCTTACACCTTCTTATTTTATTGTCCATAGTTTCTTTCTCACTACTTCTAAAGAGAATGTTGTTAATAAATAATATCTAGAGGTGGGACTTTTGCTTGTTGTTTAAAGTTTATTTCCAGTTTTACTACAATATAGTCAGCCAAAGAAAGCTTACCTTTATATCTTTTTATTTTTAATCACTACTATAATCATTATTCTTCATGGTCCTTGTTGGCATACTCAGCTTCAAGATTACAGATACATATCAGATAGGATGTCATGTGCCTACTATTACTGCAAAAGCACAATTTTCTAAAAGTATCCACAGCATTTTTTTTTTTTTTTTTTTTTTTGAGAGTTTCACTCCATTGCCCAGGCTGGAGTGCAGTGGCACAATCTCTGCTCACTACAATCTCCAGCTCCCAGGTTTAGGCTATTCTCGTGCCTCAGCCTCTGGAGTAAGCTGGGACTACAGGCATGTGTCACCAAGTCTAGCTAATTTTTTGTATTTTTAGTAGAGATGGGTTTTTGCCATGTTGGCCAGGCTGGTCTCGCACTTCTGACCTAAGGTGATCTACCCGCCTCAGCCTCCCACAGTGCTGGGATTATAGGCATTAGTCACCACTCACAGCCTCACAGCCCACAACACAGGCTGTTTTAAATAGCAGTGAAAGCTTGTTTTAAAAAAGGGCTGAAGCAGGTGTTCAATATTTTAAATTTCTTGGAATGCTTTTCAAAGTAACATTACTGTGTCTTCTCCCTTTCTCACCGTATAATAGCCCACAAAGCACAGCTCAGAAAATTAACCAATTTCTCAGAGCATAACAGTCAGAACTCAGAAATACAGATTTATTGATTCCAATTCCAAGGTGCTATCCATACCTGTAATTATAGGCAATGTCTTTTCTCTTTTTAAGAAAAAAAGAAAAACTCATTTAAGCCAGCTTTTTCAGGTGAACAATTTGTTTTCAATATTTAATAACTGCAGTCATTTTTACTAGAAATAATAATGTGGAATAAGTGAACTGATGTGTAAATGTGTATCTAAAAGTGCTAATGCGTACAAAATAACAAGTTGGTTATCTTTTGAGCATAAAATTTCCTAACATAACTTTACTGAACACTCAATCCATTTATCAGTATAAAATTACTTTCAGGAAGTACCTTAGAGTCTTCGCTCTGACCTTCCTAGAATGAAAATAATTGAATTTCTCTTGCCATAACATACATTTTGGAAAAGCATAATTTAAAATGACTATTTAACTTTTCCTCCAAAAACTGAGTTGCTAATTTTCATGTTTGCTTTATTTTACCTCTCTTCCTCCATAATGGAGTCTTCTTTCCCAGGCATTTCTGATGTATTGTCATACATGAGTTTATGAGTTTCAATGAAGTTTTTCTGTAAGGCAGACATTTGAGCCATGATCTTCTGGCGATGTAGCCTAGCAGCTTCAGCTTTTCTTTTTCGTTCTGCTTTTTCTTTATCGTGAGTAATCTGGGTATCAAGAAATGATAAATTTAGGTAAGATCCACTGTTAAAAATTTATATATGCTATTTGGATGGCAAAATTCCTTAGTGTAAGATTCTGAGAAACCTGATTACCCCTTAAAGCCTGGATTCAGTTTAATGTTTCAAAATTAGCATTACAGGCTGCATTACATCATACAAATAATTATTCCTTTGGTTATTTCAATAATTTACTGTAAAAAGCTAAGAACCTTAAATATCCAATAAACTGCCTTTTATACTCAATACAGGTACATTAAGAAATAAAATTAGATAAAACAAAATTTTAAAATCATTTGTCAATCACTTAATCACTGACATCAATTTAAATCATCTTGATTTCTAACAGTTACTCCTAAATACACTGTTAAAACTGAGAAATCTAACAATCTTTTTTAACTTTAACAATATTACAGAGATATATTTTGCGTCTTTTAACTTTCTATTCAAACTTACATCCAGTGTGTTTTACTTTTAGGAAGAACACATAGTAAACACAAATATTATTATTCTAATAACATAAATATTAGAATCATCAAAACCTGATTCACTATATTATAGAAATAAATATTATTGCATTTCATTGACTCTAAGATGTACCATTATATTTCTCTAAAAAATGCTGTTGATGAAAGTCATTTATTGTTGAGACATATCCCAATTTAAGACATTAAAACATATTAAAAGTTAATAAAATATGGCATTTTGGTTTTTTTGAGATGGAGTCTTGCTCTGTCACCTAGCCTGGAGTGCAGTGGTGTGATCATAGCTCACTGCAATCTCTGCTTCCTGGGTTCAAGTGATTCTCGTGCCTCAGCCTCCCAAGTAGCTGGGACTACACGAGTGCACCACCACATCGGGCTAATTTTTCTATTTTTACTAGAGATAGGGTTGCACCATGTTGGCCAGGCTAGTCTTGAACTCGTGACCTCAAGTGATCCACCTACCTCCGCCTACCAAAGAGCTGGGATTACAGGAGTGAGCCACCCACACCCAGTTAAAATATGGTATTTCTAATAGAGCTCTACTATATATCAATTTCTCCTGCTTTTGCAAAATAGAAAAATTATACTAAGTGTCACGTACCATTAATCCCCGAAATATAGAAGCATAATGAATAAAAGATGGACAGATATCATATTCCTTACAATAAACAGGTTTCTCCTAACAAAAAGCAGCTCCCTTATACCAATAAAGTTCAAAGACAGAGATGAACATCACCATTATTACAGTGTTATTACAGTGTCATACCTCATCATTCTTAATAGATTCCAATCCTGATGTGGTTGCTACAATTAAACAAGACTTTTCTCTTAATCGCTTCACTGTGTCAAACATCTGTGAAAAACAGGTGAAACATTAAAAGATTTAGTTAGACTGTTGGACTGATCAAGAACAGAAACATTCACTAATCTGATTGTGGCATCATATCTCCAAACATCTTTCATTTAAACTATTTCAATATATAAAGTAAAAAAGTGACCATGACTGTGACAAACACCTGCCCTAGTCAATGAGCAATCTAGCTGAGGAGGAGGCCACTGGTAGCAGAATCAGCAGATTCAGCATGTAGCTGGGAGCATGTCTCTGTTAGCTTTCGAGGAATTTGCCAGGAAACAAAATTCTTTTTTAATTTAAAATAACATTTTTGTGCTAAAATACATAAAGACAAATATATAAAATGATGGCTGGATGTGGTGGCTCACATCTGTAATCTCAGCACTTTGGGAGGCCAAGGCGGGTAGACCACCTGAGGTCAAGAGTTAGAGACCAGCCTGGCCAACATGGCAAAATTCTGTCTCTACTAAAAATACAAAAATCAGTTGGGCGTGGTGGTCCACGCCTGTGATGCCTGCAACTTGGGAGGCTGAGGCAGGAGAATCTCTTGAACCCAGGAGGTGGAGGTTGCAGTGAGCTGAGATTGCACCCCTGCACTCCAGACTAGGCAACAGAGCGAGACCCTATCAAAAAAAAAAAAAAAAAAAAAAAAAAAAAAAAAAAAAAAAAAAAAAAAAAAAAAAAAAAAAAAAAAAAAAAAAAAAGATACAAAATGAGAAGTAAAATTCTCCTCTTCCTGATTACAATGCCCCCCTCCAAAAGCAACAACTAAAATACAGACTACCAATATTTTTTCACAGGTAAAAATTATTAGAATATATAATTTTTATATTTATGCCTATTTTTATTAAAAGAGAGTCTACCATACATACTCTTTCACACCTCCTTTTTTCACTTAATAATTTACCTTTGGAGACATTTCCACAACAGCTTATACAGAAATGTCTCATTCTTACAAATAAAGGTCAAGCATGCATGCATTTATTCGACAGTTTCACTCTGTCACCCAGGTTGGAGTACAGTGGCACAATTCTTGCTCACTGCAACCTCTGCCTCCTAAACTCATGCCATCTTCTCACCTCAGCCTCCCAAGTAGCTGGGACTAGAGGTGCACATCACTATACCCCTGGCTAATTTCTGTATTTTTTGTAGAGATGGGTCTTTTCCACATTGTCCAGACTAGTCTTGAACTCTGGGCTCAAGCAATCCACCCAAAATGGCTTCCCAATGTGCTGGAATTTTAAGTGTGAGTCACTGTGCCCAGTAAAATTTATTTATATTTTGAAGGAACCTTGGTCTCATGAGGAAAAACTTCCCACAATGAACATTTACAACACAGCTTTAAATTAAGCATCTGGAGAGAGTATACTATGTGTTTAACAGCAGACATGTGTGATTTTAATATATATTAATAAAATTTAGCATTCTAATCGAAAATGAATTTTCAGGACTAGATCTGCAATTCATAACACCATCTCAATGGGATATGAAAGCTGAACTAAATGGTATCCCGATTTACTTATTAGTAGTTATTTACTTTCGTTTGATTTTCTATCTTAAAATTATTGGCTAGTTTAACAGAAATACTAAATACTCATAAAATCTACTTCAAGAATTTTGATATCATTATCTTATAGTTACATATCATTACATCAAGCTTAAAGGACTGTTTCTAATTAAGTACTAAAAAGAGCTGCCCTCTTAAAGTACAAATCAGTACCAAGATTTCCAACGATAAGAATGTTAAAAAAAGAACTACTCTATACATTCTAATTATCAAAACAATATTTAGCTATAAACATCAGAATATTTTAATGAATGTAGAGTGCAGAAGCTCCATAATCCTGGTTTCATGTTTCCATGTGCAGGATTTTCCATTAAAGTAACATTCCTGGCCTCTCTCTCCCCTGCTTATTTAATTCACTCAACCCCAAAGGCAATGCTACCTACCCAATAAGCTCAAGCACCAAATCCAGGAGTCATCTTTGATTCCTTTTTTTCTGAAACAGAGTCTTGTTTTGTCACCCAGGCTAGAGTGCAGTAGTATGATCTCAGTTCACCACAACCTCCACCTCCCATGTTCAAGTGATTCTCCTGCCTCAGCTTCCTGAGTAGCTGGGCCTACAGGCATGCATCACAACATCTGGCTAATTTTTTATATTTTTAGCAGAAATGAGGTTTCACCACGTTGTCCAGGTTGGTCTCAAATTACTGACCTCAGGTGATGTGCCTGCCTTGGCTTCCCAAAGTGCTGGGATTACAGGCACAAGCCACCACGCCCGGCCTCATCTTTGATTTCTTGATTTCCTTCATCCCCCCCAATCAAACTGATCAGCAAGTACTATAGATTTTACCTCCACAAGCCTTCAACATAAACCTTAATCAGTTCAGATTCTTACAATCTGCATTTAGCCTAGGTCATGCTTATTTTACGCCAAAATTACTGCAATACTCTCCTAACAGTTTCCTTACTTGCATGCGTACCCTCTGTAATCCATTTACTCCACAAGAGTCAACACCATCTTGCACAAATATAGATTAGGTCACTTAAAAACCTCCAATACTTTCCCACTGTCCTCAAAAATAAAATTTATCACTTTATGCTGACTTATAAGGACCTATATGATCTGGCTGTAGCTGCCCATATGACCTCATTGCCTACCTTTCCATCCCTTATTCATTATGTTCCAGCCATACTGGCCTTCTTTCTGGCCACCACAGAGCTTTTGTAGTGCTGTTCCCCCTTCCCGGAGTACTGTTTCAGATTCTCCCAAGACTGACTCCATGTCATTCAGGTCTCAGCTCCAATGTCACCTTTTGAGAGAGGCCTTCCCTAATTACCCAAAGTAACCCCTTACTCATCTACTGAATTACCCTGATATTTTCTTGTTTGTTTAATGTCTGTCCCTCAGCTAGAGTATATGTTCCATGACAGTAAGCACCTTGTCTGTCTTGTTCCATCTAGAAATCCATAAATGAGCATGGCACATGGTATGTATTCAATGAAGTTGACTAAATAATGACAAAACAATAAATCTTAATTTTTAAAACTACATTAAAACATAGAAAAACAGAATTATTAACATAAAAAAGTGATAATGAAAAATCAGTAGTAAATGTCTACAATAGTATAGTGATTTAATTTTAGAAGCAAGTAGAGAATTCTTAAATATTTAAACCAAGATACGATCAATTTACTTTTTAGTTTACCTGAAGTAGCCATGTAATCATGTCCTTCTGGCCTTCTAACTGGGGAATTCCTTTGAGTTTTTCCAAAAGAATATGTATGTTCATGGCTGAACTTCCCAATCCTTTTTTAAAACACAAAATCACACATCATAAATATATATAATCACCTCTTGGTATCCTCAGGGGATTGGTTTCAGGTCCCCTACGGACATCAAAGTCCACTAATGCTCAATTCCTTTATATAAAATGGTGTATTATTTGCATAAAATCTACATACTTGCTTCTGTATGCTTTAAATCATCATCTCTAGATTACTTATAATGCCTAATACAATGTAAATGCTATGTAAATAGTTGTTAGATAATATTGTTTAGGGAATAATGACAAGAAAAAAGAAGTCTGTGCATGTTCAGTACAGTGGCAACCATCCTTTTTCTTTCTTCCCCCTGAATATTTTCAATCTGTGGTTGGTTGAATCCTTAGATGTGGAACCTGCAGACATGGAGGGTCGATTATGTCTTCATAATTATGTACAAATTATAATTTCTAGTAAATGTTATTTACATTGATAACCAAGGTTTGCCAATCAATCCCTTAACTACATTAATTTTTCAATGGATGAATCTGCAATTATGTGAAGTACTGGGTTACAATGATATGATCTACTACATTTAAAAATGATGTATGAGAGGCCGGGCGCGGTGGCTCACGCCTGTAATCCCAGCACTTTGGGAGGCCGAGGCGGGTGGATCAAGAGATCAAGACCATCCTGGTCAACATGGTGAAACCCCATCTCTACTAAAAATACAAAAAATTAGCTGGGCATGGTGGCGCATGCCTGTAATCCCAGCTACTCAGGAGGCTGAGGCAGGAGAATTGCCTGAACCCAGGAGACGGAGGTTGCGGTGAGCCGAGATCGCGCCATTGCACTCCAGCCTGGGTAACAAGAGCGAAACTCCGTCCCAAAAAAAAAAAATGATGTATGAGAAAAACTTGAATTTAAGTCTCTCTCTTACATCTTTTACTGGCACTGCTAAGTGAAAGCTACCCTAAATATCTGTCTCTGGTCTTTCCTCCGCTTGACTCAGCATCTAAGCAAAAGTGCTTAATGAGAAACAAAATTGCCAAAATATCAAAGTGGGGGATGTCCATAAACTGAATATGTTTTTGATGTCTTCAGGGATCTAAAAACTACAGCATGTAAATAGAAAATGTTAGTCTTCTATTGTTTTTATAATCAACATGCCTGGAATGTGCTTTGAAAAAACTATCTTTATCAGGTAGCTTTTATTAGAAATCTAATTTAAACCTATCCTTTTCTTCCAAGTTGAATACAATGTAAAATGAACGTTAGTTATTCAGATTTCTATCATTTAAAATTCAGAAACATTAATATCTCATATAGAGATGTCAAGTGAATGCTATGGTTGACACAGCAGCAAATATTTGATAACACTGAGGTGAGTAATGAAAGTCAAAAAACACCAATATATGCAACAACAACAAAAAAGTGGGGAGCACATGTAGTGAAAAGACTGTAGTAAAGACTACAGTAAGAGATTAAAACTATATGAATATGCTTGAAAATATCAGTTACAAAACTAAGAATGCTAGAAACAAACAAATTATTTCAGGGTTTCCTATGTCTTAAGGACTGACAGATTAAAACTCTATAAGATATAAACTTTCAGGACTGACAAATTACAACTCCTTAAGATCAAAACTTTCTATGATAAATGTGTTGAAGGGTGATACTCAAACATACTTGAAGCCTTATGATAAAAGTCAAATGTTACTTCTTCTTCAGGAGCTTTTTGAAGCTGTTGCTTCTCTTCTAGTAAACCCAATGCCAGAATATGAAAAGCCTGAAGGAGGAAAATAAGAGATCTTAAAAACTGGGCTTCTTCAGGTAAATATATTTTTAATTTAATTTTTTTTTTTTTCAGAGACAGACCTCACTCTGTCACCCAGGCTGAAGTGAAGCAGGGCAATCCTAGCCTACTAAAGCCTTAAGCTCCCAGGTTCGAGTGATGCTCCTGCCTCACTGTCCTGAGTAGCTGGGGACTAGAGGTGCACAGCACCATGCCCAGCTTATGGTATTTTTTGTTATAGACGGGGTCTCACTATGTTGACCAGGTTGGTCTCAAATTCCTGCGCTCAAGTGATCCTCCTGCCTCAGCTTCCCAAAGTGCTGTGATTACAGGTATGGGTTACCATGCCCAGCAAGGTAAATCTATTTTAAGGAGAAGTATAAAACTAAGCAATCTGATAAGTAAAAACGCACTCACGTTAAGCAGTTCACAGAAAGAGAAATGAACACACATATGAAAAATGTTCAACTTGGCCAGGTGCTGGTGGCTCACAACTATAATCCCAGCACTTTGGGAGGCCGAGGCAGGTGGATCACCTGAGGTCAAAAGTTTGTGATTAGCCTGGCCAACAAGGTAAAAACCCGTCTCTACTAGAAATACAAAATTAGATGGGCATGGTGGTGGGTGCCTGTAATCCCAGTTGCTGGGGAGGCCAAGGCAGAAGAATTGCTTGAACCTGGGAGGCAGAGGTTGCAGTGAGCCAAGATGGTGTCAATGCATTCCAGCCTGAATGACAAGAGTGAAACTCTGACCAAAAAAAAAAAAAGTTCAACTTCACTTGAAGAAAAATGAGTTGAAACAAGATCATCCTGTTTTTCACCTATTACAGTGGCAAAAATTTTAGCATTTAGTAAAATATAGAGCTGGCATAGGTATTGGGAAGTAGGCACTTTTGACCATACTGGTGATGGGAAAGTAAACTGGTTTAACATTTTTGGAGGGTAATTTGAAAACATTTATCAAAAATGTAAAGATATATACCAGCTACTTGGAATTAGTATGACAAATACACTCCCTTAAGTATGCAAAAATACTCATACAAGAAAGTATATTTTATTGTTCTTTGTTACAGCAAAGACCTAGAAACACCTGAATGTCTATTAATAGGAGACTACTTAAACACATCATATCCATATGATGGAATACGCAGCTATCAAAAATAGGTAGTTCTATACATGCAAAACTTTAATAATGCTTATATCCTATATAGATAGGGCACTAGGACTCAGGGAGCGAAATTTTAACTTGATTTCAAACATATATGTATGGTTTATAATTTACTAGTGATTGTATTTATCAGTGTTATAAAAAAAATTGTGATACACATATGGCAGTGACAGCATTTAGAATCTGCAGACCAACAATATTCAAGGAAAACTGAAAATTTAGTTAGGCAGGTATAAATATAGAGTTACAACTACCATGACGTGGCATAATTAAGTAACATGTATTTATCTGTAACAGTAACAAGGAAAAATAGCTGCTTTCACTTTAGCTAATTCTTCTATCTCTAAAAATAATTACACTTATATCCATTTTACTAATGAGAAAATTATTATTTGCTACTTAAACAGAAAGTGGGGAAACCCAAGACTGAAGTCTAGACCTATCTTCAGACCTTTATTAACTGTCTCCTTATAATCCAAGTAAAACTAAAAATATAAAAAATCATGACAAAATAATAACATGTCAATTTATTAGCATGAGTACGCCTGTTTTTGTTTTCAAGGGTTTTATTAAACAGAAATGGTTCCCAAGAGTAAGGATGCTAAAAGCATGAGAATGTATCACTAAAAAAGTCTGTGGTATATATAAGCTATTTTTAACGACCCCTACATTTCAGGTGCTTTAGATGCGGTTCCAACCGAAGTTATACCCAAGATATTCTCCAGATCCTCAAGAACTCTAGAACTTGATGTAGATAAAATATTTTAGGAAAACAAACCATTTGGAGCATCCCTTCAGTCCACAAGTTAGAATCTGTGTCTATTGCCCGCTCAAATACAGTCCTGAGAATGTACATCATGATATCACAGTTGAGAAGGTTAATCACTTTGCTGAAAGCAGGGCAGAATTCAGGAGGTGGTGGTGGTGGCAATGCTACAGGAGGTGGGGAATGGATGAGGAAAGAGACAAACAGGCACATTTTTATTTGGGTTTTACTACATACTAAATTGCAAATGTCAAAAAATAATAAATTACATGCAAAATAAGAGATGCTTTTTTGTTACCTTTCCAGTACTGAAAATATCAATGTTACATGTAATGTAAGTACTAAGTCAGCCACCCAAAATGAACATTTGCCATCAATTTAAAATTCAATCACTGCTGATATATACCACATCTTAATATGTGAATAAGAAGCAAAAAGTTCTTTGCACTTCCTTGAGTTGCCCACTCTCAAAAACCAACAAAGCCAAAAAACTATACGCTTCGCTGATACAAAACCACAGAAAATAGCCAAAATCAGTCAATTCAGAATCTCACTTTTTACCTTCATCTTTGTTTTCTTGTTTTCTCCTTTTCTTCTGCATATGTTCAGCCTATAAAAAAAAATCTATCATTAAGTATACTGCTTTGCAAGCACGAAACAAAAGAAAGACTTTAAAGCAGTCAGGAAAGACCGAACCACCTATTAAAATAGTTTATATAATGAAGCATGTATTCAAAATGCCTCTTTGTGCTAGAAACAAAATGGTGTTCTAGAGAAAACTAATGCAAAATAGATGAGGAATATTCCTCATCAAGAACTTAGTCTCCATTCTTTTCTACTGAAAATATTTACCTGTACCTATTATGTACAGGGTACTATACTATGGGCTGTAAAGTATTTACTTTATAAGGACAAAGCCAGACATCATCTCAAGTTAAGTGATCAAACTTAACATGATCTTTCATGGGACAAAAAGGCATATGTGCTTAATGATGTGATGCAATATGTCACTTACATAGCATTCTTGCCAAAAATTGTTTAACTTGAATCTATTCTGTACTCCATAGAAATGCCAATGTTATGAAATTTAAAAATGCAAAAGAATTATCCTTTAAGTGAATGGAGACCACTGGCCAGGCATGGTGGCTCACGCCTATGATCCCAGCACTTTGGGAGGCTGAAATGGGTGGATCATTTGAGGTCAGGAGTTCGAGGCCAGCCTGGACAATATGGTCAAACCCCGTCTCTACTAAAAATACAAAAATTAGCTGGGCATGGTGGTGTGCACCTGTAGTCCCAGCTACTACTCAGGAGGCTGGGGCAGGAGAATCACTTGAACCTGGGAGGCTGAGGCTGCAGTGAGTCAAGATCGTGCCACTGCACTCTAGCCTGGGCAACTGAGCAAGGCTCCCTTTCAAAAAAAAAAAAAAAAGGAGACTATAGAAACATGACAATTAAATGAGTGTGTGATAATAATGAAATGCATGATGCTTGACTGAATCCTCTTCCCAAGACAGCTATAAAGGACATATGTAGCATAATCAGGAAAATCTGAATATTGCCTGTATACTAGATAACATTACTGATTCAATTTTTATTTCTTGACATAATGCCCTCTATTAATAACAATCAGCATGAAACTGTAGAAAAAGTGAAAATTTTCTGTGGAGTTAGAAAGCATAAAGTATTTAGGTTTAGCTACTGAAAAGGATACTTTTTTCTACCTTGCTATGCTGGGTTTTGGAGTAATGGTAAAAGTACACATTGAAGTCTTTCAATGATTCATCTTTTAATTCATAAACTCCATGGCCTGATACACCTGGTTTCCTAGATGGAAAATACAAGATGAACTGTAGTGTTCATGAAGTATAAAATGCAGACAAAATAAAAACCTAAAAATCTAGAAGTCAAAATATACAGAGAAAAAATTATATCTCATTTAGTTTATAAATTCCATTCCAATAATAAAACTAAAAGCCTACATTGTAAACACAAAGCCTGATAACAGCTGTGTTTTATAATAATGAAATTCAAACAAATCTGGAGAAGTCTGTTTTATACTATGTAGAACTGATCCCATAACCTATCTCTAAAGCTTTTTAGAGATTTGAGTCTCTGAAGCCTAAAGTTTGTCTATTCAACTAAAGAAAACTTCATTGGCCTTAGACACTTCATTGTCTAAGGTCAAATCTAAAATAGTAGGGAGACATCATAACCTTAGCAATTTGGAAATGAAAATACAATGCCGAATCCTTTATACTATAAGGAAAAATCATTAAGGTCAAAAGGAGTACTTCATATTTGTTCTAAACATTAAATAGCTTTTGGTTTCTATCCAATCTCTAAGTCAAATATTTCACTGAACATTATTAGATCATAAGAAAAGCTATACCCTATTTTTAAAGTTATTTGAAACTAGTAATTTATCTGTAAACACAATACTGTATCAATTTTTCAAATTTCAAAGATTAACACAAATTTTTCTTTCTTTTACATACTTAAATGAAAATATAAAATGCTGTTTTAATTCTACTAGAGAAAAATCCAAAATTCGCATATAAAATAAAAATTTATAGAATAAACGAAATCATGGGTTCAAATTAATGGGAAAGAGACTATCCAAAAAGTCTGTTTACTATGTAAATAAATCATCTAATATCATAAAAGAATATTTCTCATTCACCTGCCAAAAACATTCATTTTATCAACAAACAGATACAAAGTGTCTACTGTGAGCCCCTCATTGCCATGCTTTCTAATCTGTGTTCCACTCTTATTCTTGGGAGTTCAGGTAAGAACTTCAGAAGTATTCAAAGTACAACAACAAAGATCAATCTACCTTTTAGAATAAGCATAAATATTAAGCACTTACTTAAATGTGGCCACTTTGTTTATGACATTCTCTAAGCCAGTTTCATTATTTTCCTGTCAAAACAATATTTTTGTCATTTTTACCTTCATATAGTAACTTCCACTTCTCTGTGAAGTGAAATACATTTTCAACTGCACCTCTGAAGTAAGTATTTTGTAAATAATAAAAGAAACACATCAATTTCCACTATTAAAAAATTAGGTCTAAAACCAATTATCTATGTTTTGGGAGTCCAACTTTGTAAGTGATAAGATGTATGTATAAACTGTTTAAGAAAGGTTATCTAAGTTTACCTTCATATGTGTGTATATGTATACACATAGATCTATGGCATACACACACAGTATTACCAATATTTCAAAGAAAAGCTTTTCTTAATGTTGTATGTTTATCACCCACATCATTTATGCACATGCCCATGCTGTACTAATCCCTAAAATCAAGGTAACAAAATTATTGAGCTCCAACTAGTCACGTAGAGCAATACCCATGTCTGTATGTCCTATTATATTCTACTTTCTGCAATTATAATAGTTTTAATCTGACTGGCCTCATCTTTTCCTTAAAGAGGGTATACTACTTTTTTTTACAAAGTCATTTTAAATCAAGATAAGGACCTAGTCAAACTACTACAGTAAGCTCATAGATTCCTGTAGTCTTATAAAGATAAGAAATGTAACCTCCCTTAAAATATATATATATACTTGTGCCTTTCCGTGGCCAGGCACGGTGGCTCACGTCTGTAATTTCAGTACTTTGGGAGGTCAAGGTGGGTGGATCACTTCAGGTCAGGAGTTTAAGACCAGCCTGGCCAAAATGGCAAAATCCCATCTCTACTAAAAATACAAAAATTAGCCGGGTGTGGTGGCGCGCACCTGTAATCCTAGCAACTCAAGAGGCTGAGGGAGGAGGATTGCTTGAACCTGGGAGGCGGCAGCTGCAGTGAACCAAGAGCCAAGATTGTGCCACTGTACTCCAGCCTGGGTGACAGAGCAAGACTTCGTCTCGTGTGTGTGTGTGTGTGTGTGTGTGTGTGTGTGTATCCCTATTCTACCTCTTTGGAAAGCCTTGACAGCACAGATAAGTATAATTATTTTTTATAACTCATATTCAAATCTTAAAGGGAAAAAATATGAGACTCATAACCTATAGAACTATTACTGCAGTATCTGTATACACAAAAATACAAATACCACTTGTGGTGGTCATGAGAATGCACCTTGCAGACCTCTAATTACAGGGAACAAATGACCACATGCCTCAACTGCTGTGCTCTGGTGAAACCGAGGCAAAGCTTCTCACCAGTCATTCCCAGACAATAGGCAAGGCAGAGATACTAATGCAGGCTTACTCTGGAACACATGGGAAGGCACAGATGGAAAGGCTGCCCAGCACTCTGGGATACTTCTATTTAACTTTCCTTCCCTCTTTACTTCACTGGGAATCAGATTTGCATCAGAATCTGATGGCCCCCCTTGTCGTTCCCAGATCCCTGGCCATTTTCCTTAATAAAAAAAACTTAATGTTTTGTCACGAGATCTGCTTCTCAGAAGACCCATATTAACACATCACCCAGTCTCAGTATGTCAGGGAGTTCCCTTTTTACCTCTGGAATAATCTAAGTAAACAAAAAGTAAAGGAGTTTCACCCAGAATTAAAATTTATACCACTAAAGGATGAAAGTGATTGGTTTGCATCTGTAAAGTAATAATATAGAACATTTTGCCTAAAATTTTGAAGTAGCTTCTTAAAAAAAACTCTATCATCTTGAGGCAAACAGAGATAAAATCAAAATCAGACTTACATTCTCAGGCAAATTTTTGGCAATGGCGCTGTGTGGCATAGGTTCAATGCAAAGCAAGTGAATAATTTCTCTCATTGTGACCTCTTCTTTGGTCACATTTCCTACTCCAGGTACATAACGCTCACCTAGTTCAAATAATTAAAAATAAAAAGTAGAATAATTGTTTTCTACTTAAATCTATCCCCATCAGAAGCACTTACAGAACACTGCATTAAATTAAGTTTGTAAGACAGGGGCAAAAGTTATTTGAATGGGTTCCCAAATCTGAACAAGAATCTGTGTTGAAAGAGGGAGAAAACTGAAGTGACTTGAAATTAGCTAAGTGTCTTGGCTAACTTATACACATATACACAGACACACAGACACATACGTATACATACACATACACATACTCACACATTATAAATAAGGCCCCTCAAATAAATTAGCATGTGTTTCTAATCCAGAACACATGGCAGATGGCATCTGAATGAGCAGTGGCCATCACTGAATAGTTTTTCTTTCAAGATCTTCCTCAATTTTGTATCTACTTGTTATTTAAGAAAGAACAAAGGGAAAACTGAAAAACAAAATACTTAAAAATGTCTTTATGGATTAAATGACAAAACAGTAATATGTATTAGGAATGAATGGTGTTGTGAAAATGCCTACAAGGTCAGATTTCCATTTTTCATCAATATAAACCACCAAATGAAGGGGAAAAAATAGCTAACATAAGTATGGGAGCTTCACTGATGTCAACAGCATCTAATTCCCATTGCCTTAAGAAGGCTTACAATATCTGGCCTTATATCACCACTGATTTTCAACACTACAGTATTTGTACAAAGACCTATCATATTTACAAGAGGGTTACTAAGAAAGAAACCCCTTGCTTAAGAGATTTGATGAATTCTACAAATTTGCCAAAGAATGACTTTTTGTTAAGTGAATTTGTTTCCAACATACTTATTCTGCTTTACATTTGTAAAGCATTTTGTAATTTTTATAATTTTTCACCAAAAACAGTATCCCCTAGAATTTTAGTACTAGAAGAAACCTCAGAGATCGTGTAGGTTACCTCCACATTTTACAAATCAGGAATATAAGGCCAAAATAATGCAACTGCATGTTTTTAAAAGCTAGTAGCAAGGCCAAGACTAGAGCTCCTGATTCTCAATCCAAATATTTTTTCATATTTTAATTTTAATCAGAAATATAATTTTTTAAACAAAAATGTTGATTCCTGAAAGTAACGATCTTAACACTCATGAACAGAAAAAGTATTAACTAAAAAGCAAATCACAAGAAAAAAAACAATAAATTTGGGCAAACACAATATAGTAAAATAATAGTAAATAAAACAGTAAAATTAAATATAGTAAATAAAAAATAGTAATAAAATAAAAAAATAAAAAATAAAAGTAAAAAAATAGTAAAACAGTAAAATTATACTACAATATTAGAAATTCTTCATACAGTACTCTAAGGACAAATGCAAAAGTTCCCCTTGAGTTTTCATAATTTGATAAAGTATATAATCAGTTTTTAATTCTTTTACACATTTTTAATTCATCCATTTTTTCCCATCTGTTTGTTACTGGTATATTCTGGACAGGAAGAATTAGTGGTCTGAAAGGTTTAAGTCTCACCCAGCAATAAAGCCTTACTTCCCTTTCGGCTGAGACATGTAGCTAGTCTGGCAACTAGCTCTCTGACAAACAAGTAAAAATGAACCCATTTTTACAGACTTAGCTAACAGCTCTAATCCCCACTAAACAACTATTCAAACAAAGGAGTGTTTGTTGCAGTAAAGTAAATAAGAAAAGCCAGAATGAGAAGTCAAGAACAAGGTGATGGCAATGAATGTACCCAGCTGGTAAAATCAACAGACTATGACATGGCATATATTTGTATTCAATAGGTTAGAACACAGTGTTCCTGCAAGGAATATTTATATTAATCTCAACCAAATTATAAGACACATTCTATGGGTCAATGTCATAAGTTGATAAACATTATTTCTGGCAAAGAACACTCTTTTTTTTTTCTCTAAGTAAACTTAACAAAGTTAAGTATGACCAATATTAGCACAAAACAATTGAACAGAATAGGATGAAAATATATTTTACTTAGACCAATGATACATATAAAATTTTTAACACTAAATGAACTCCAAATATGTCAAAACAAATTTACAAATCAGGTAGGAAAAATAAAGATGTAACATCTGTACTTTTATGAAGGTGATTTTCTAAATGCAGTATTTGACTGAGGAGTAAACGATCACTTATAGTTCATATAAATGGTCTCTGTAAAAAGTAACCCATGGACCAGGCGCAGTAGCTCATGCCTATAAGCCCAGCATTTTGGGAGGCTAAGGTGGGCAATTATGAGGTCAGGAGTTAGAGATCAGCTTGCCCAGCATGGTGAAACTCCAACTCTACTAAAAATACGAAACATTAGCCAGGCATGGTGGCGTGCACCTGTAATCCCAGCTACTTGGGAGGCTAGGGCAGGAGAACTGCTTCAACTCAGGAGGCAGAGGTTGCAGTGAGCCAAGATCGCGCCACTGCACTCCAGCCGAAGCGACAGAGCAAGATTCCATCTCATAAAAAAAAAAATTAATCCATGTTCTATGTCAAAATATTGTGTTTTAATCTTACCCACAATATAGATGAGGACCTGAAGCATTTCTTCTATTAATGTATTATATTGTTTAATCAAATCCTACAGAATTGAAAAAGAATAAATTAGTATGGAAGAACCAAAAATCTCCATAAAACACGCATTTCTGGATCAGACTCATGGTCCATCCAGTTCAGTATTTTTTCACCCAGTGCAGTATTTGTGTATGTGTATGTGCACAGCACAAATAGTTACAAGGTGAAGAGTTCCCTTTTTTGACATCAAATTCAACAATATCTGGCATATAATTGTTAAATACTGTCATTGTTTTCATTCTTATTATCCCCTGCATAGTCACACCTCAGCACACTAATGCTAATCTTTAATTCGTCCTCTATTACTGGCTGCCTTCTTATCTGGGGTAGTGAGAAAGCGCTTTCAAATACATACCCAACAGCTATGCTGAGAGTATCCTTCTCTAATACACCCCTCATTTAAACACTATTAAATCGGATATTGATTTTCACTAAGTATAAAACACAACTAAAAATTAGCTCTGCATTTTACATCCTATTCATGTTAGCCCTTTGCAAGTAACTTCTATTTTTTCATTTAAAAAGTTTTTTTAATGTATTTATTATTTTTCCAAAGAAACTTTACCAGAAGAAGTAACTTCTCATTTGAAAGAACAGAGTAATGAGATTTCATGAATTCAAAGCAGTTAAGGATTACTTTATAGGCAAATATTAATTCAAATATTAAAACAATAAAGATGTGGGCGGGCACAGTGGTTCATGCCTATAATCCTAGCACTTTGGGAGGCTGGGGCGGGCACATCACTTGAGCTCGGGAGTTTGAGACCAGCGTGTCCAACAAGGTGAAACCTCGACTCTATTAAAAATACAAAAAATTAGCTGGGCTTGGTGGCTCATGCCTGTGGTCCCAGCTACTCAGGAAGCTGAGGCAGAAGAATCGCTTAAATGGGAGGGGGAGGTTGCAGTGAGTCAAAATTGTGCTGTTGCACTCCAGCCTGGGCAACAGAGTGAGACTCTGTCTCAGAAACAAATAATAAATAAAATAAAATTTGTATATTACTTCTGAGACAACAAAGATTAAAATACCATTGTCATTATAGATGTATATATTGCACAAGAGAGCTTAAATAGGAATTTCTGAGAGCAATTTAACAATATGTATTAAGAGTCTTAAGAAAAAGTATGTTGTTTTATCCAACAAATCCACTTATAAAAATGTATCTTAACAAAATAGTTAGACAAGTGTTTAAACACTGAGCTACAACTGTTTATAAGACCAACCAACTTCTCAAAAATAAATAAATAAATAAAATAAAATCAGCCTGGCCAACATAATGAAATCTTGTCTACTAAAAATACAAAGATTAGCAGAGCATGGTGGCTAGTCTCAGCTACTCAGAGGCTGAGGCAGGAGAATCACTTGAACCCTGGAGGCAGAGGCTGTGGTGGACCAAGATCACACCACTGCACTCCAGCCTGGGCAACAGAGCAAGACTCCATCTCAAAAATAATAAATAAATAAATAAATAAATAAATAAGCAACCAACTAGAAAGACCTCTTCAGTAACAGACTTTAAAGTATAATGCATCATATAGTATAACCCTATATAATTATTTAAAATGATGATATAATTGCATATTTATTTCATTACAAGATGAAAAACCTTTGGCAATATGTTAAGCATAAGAAGCAGATTACACAACAGCACATATAGAATGATACAATTTTTGCTTTAAAAACAAGAAAGACACCAAAACCTTAAAAGTGATCATTTCCAGGAAGCAGTGTTTTTCATGTGATTTTTTTCTTTGTGAACCTACATATTCTAATTTTTCTAGATTAAAAAGATTGTATGTGTGTACATATGTGTGCTATATATATCCATGTCATTTCAGGAGGTATGCATTAAGAAATAACTTTTAAAATATGACTAAATATGACGGAAATAAAATATGACTCAAACAGTAACAATATTTTCTTTAAAATTAATTCACATAATTTATAGGTTCTGTACCTGGTCTTTTGTAGATACGGTCTTGTTAAAAGCCTCGGCAAGTTCATACCTCTGAAGTACCAGTAACAAGAACTTATTGGGATCCATTAAAGATGCACCAATCTGTGAAAGAAACCCAGCATCATATTTCTTGTGTATTGTACGGAGAAACATTGTGTCTCTTGTAGGACTGTCAGAAAATTATGAAGTTTGTAGAAGATAATGAAATAGAATAGTCCCTTCTATTTCTATGACATCATATTCAGTTTAATGGTGAGAATATTTTAAGTTAAAAATAATTACATTATCTTCTCTTATTATAAAGAACTTAAAAAGGAAGATTAAGACACAATATCAGAAACAATTTAAATAGGTACCTGAAGCATGATGATATCTTTATCGTACATTTCTTCTCTGCACTTAACGTCTTGGTAATAAAACACCTATAAAACAACAGATGGAATAAAGGCTAAAAGAATTATTTCAAGCAAATTTCTCAAGAAAACCTATCCTTAAAACTGTTTCTAAGCTAGAAACTCCTTAGTGGCAAAAAATAAGTTGGATATCCATGAATCATTTAAAGGGACTTGTGAGGATGAAGAAATACGGCATGAAATCACTTCAGAATTAAAAATGTTCTATATTAGTTATTACTCTCATGTATAAAAAAAGAATTTATTTTCCCTAAGTTTAAAATACCTACTTTAATAAAAGTAAACCAATCAATCATAATATCATTTTTTCTTTTTTTAAATTTTAAGTTCCGGGATACACATGCAAGACGTATAGGTTTGTTATGTAGGTAAACACATAATACCATTTTTCTTCCAAGTGGTAGCTTTACAAGACCTATTTCCCCACCTTTTAAGAAAAGCAAGGCCAGGCGCAGTGGCTCACGCCTGTAATCCCAGCACTTTGGGAGGGAGGCAGAGGCGGATCACCTGAGGTCAGAACTTCAAGACCAGACTGGCCAACATGGTGAAACCTGGTCTCTACTAAAATTACAAAAATTAGCTGGGCATGGTAGCACATGCATGTAGTCCCAGCTACTCAGGAGGCTGAGGCAGGAGAATTGCCTGAACCCAGGAGGCGGAGGTTGCGGTGAGCCGAGATGACGCCACTGCACTCCAGCCAGGTGAAAGAAAGAGACTCTGTCTCAATTAAAAAAAAAAGAAAAAAAGAAAAGCACTACTCCATATTTACTCTAAAATAGAAGACAAAATTACAAGGTGGTCTTCAATTAAGACAGATGGTGGAAAGACTAAAGGCCTCTAAGTAAGGTAATTCGCAGAAAAGAACTATGTAACAGGGAGGCCCCTGGGGTACTATTGGCTTTCACCTAATTTATCATACAAGCACCCTAGTTTCTTATAATTCAGATGGAATACACAGTAAATAGGATAGGAGAAATGTCTATATAGTTCCTAGAACTTTCGTTTCTAAGAGTTTATATAAGAGAATAATAGCAAATACTCAGTAAAATCCAGGGACATGGGGTAAAATTATGTAAGAGGAAAATAATTGGAAAATGAACACATTCAGAAATATAAATAATAGGCTTTGACATACCTGGCTAATAAGAGATAGCCCATTTCTTCGCCACATCTCAGCAACAACCTGGGCAACCAACACCAGACAACGTAAAGGATATTCCACTAGTACCTCTACTTGAAAGTCCTCCTGAAATAGAGTAAGGTCAATTTTATCATTTCTCAGGGCTTGCATGTATCTCCAAGTTAGGGCACTACATATTTTTCAGTTTTCTCATGTGTAAAACAGAAGAGCTAGAACTAGATGATGTCTAAGTCCCTGTGATTCAGATTACAATATACTATATGAAGATGTAAAATTACCAAATAGGAATTATTCAGGTAGGTTTCCAAATATTATTTTCCTTCTTGTCCATCAACCAAGAGGTATTCAGAAATAGAACACAAGCAAATCAATACTTAGTAGAATCACTTACAAAAGACACAAATTCATGCAGTCTTGAAATGGCACCCAGCCTGCTTAAACGTACATGAAGACCTAAAGTTAAAAAAAAAAAAAAAGAGAAAAATGAGAAAACAAACCCAATTTGTTAACTAGTTAACTCATCAAGTTTAAAAATCTGTGTAATTTGGCCGGACACAGTGGTTTAGAAATTTGTTTAATTTGGCCAGGCACAGTGGCTCACGCCTCTAATCCCAGCACTCTGGGAGGCCGAGGCAGGCAGATCACCTGAGGTCAGGAGTTCAACGACTAGCCTGGCCAACATGGTAAAACCTGCTTTCTACAAAAATACAAAAATTAGCCAGGCATGATGGTAGGTGTCTGTAATCCCAGCTACTTGGGAGGCTGAAGCAGGAGAATTGCTTGAACCTGGGAGGCAGAGGTTGCAGTGAGCCAAGATTGTGCCACTGCACTCCAGCCTGGGCGACAGAGTGAGGCTCTGTCTCTAAAAAAAAACTTATGTGATTTAAAGTATGTTTACTGAGTTTAGAAATTATACTCTAGAATGCAGATTGTTGATTTCTAATTTTGAAACACAATATTACTAACATATTTAAAATCCTACACTGTGCAAGGTGTGCTCATAACTTATATAAAAATAACATACTGTCTCTCAAGATATGTTTACTGCTTTTAGCCAAGCATCAAAAGAAATAAAAATTACCAGTTAAAACAATTCTTTAAGCATGGGGGGTTGGGGGGAGAAAAAAAAAATGAAAATTTATCCAAGTATTTTTTTAATAAAAATAAAAGCAACATAAAATCCCATGATGTCAATTATACCATATATAAACATTAACTCATAATGGATCAAAGACCTTAAACACAGGTTTAAATATAGGTGCTAAAACTAAAAAATAAAACTCAAAGAAAACATAGGGAAAGTCTTCATGACATTAGATTTGACAGTAAGGTTTTGGATACGACACCAAAAGCACAGGCAACAAAAGAAAAAAATAGATAAACTGGACTACAACAAAAACACCTGTGAGGCCGGGTGCGGCGGCTCACGGCTGTAATTCCAGCACTTTGGGAGGCTGAGGCGGGTGGATCACAAGGTCAAGAGATCGAGACCATCATGGCCAACATGGTGAAACCCCGTCTCTACTAAAAATACAAAAAATTAGCCGGATGTGGCTACACATGCCTGTAATCCCAGCTACTTGGGAGGGTGAGACAGGAGAATTGCTTGAACCCAGGAGGCGGAGGTTGCAGTGAGCCGAGAATGCGCCATTGCACTCCAGCCTGGGCAGCAAGAGCGAAACTCCGTCTCAAAAAAAAAAAAAAAAAAATCTGTGTATCAAAGGATACCATCATCAACAGAGTAAAAACGCAACCCCCAGAATGGGAGAAAATATTTATAAATCACATGTCTGTAAACAGTTATTATCTAGAATTAGATGGGCAGAACACTTGAATAGATAGTTCTCCAAAGATATACAAATGGACAATAAACATGTGAAAAGCTGATCAAAATCACTAATCACTAGGGGCAATGCCTATCAAAAGCACATGAGATACCACTTCATATCCATTAGAATGATTATTAACGGAGGTGTGGGGAGAAAAAATATCAAGTGTTGTCAAGGATGTAGATAAACTGGAATCCTAGTGCATGCTGGTGGGAATGTAGAATGGTATAGCCACTAAGAAAAACAATATGATGGTTCCTCAAAAAACTAAAAATAGAATTCCCAAATAATCCAGCAATTTCATATTTGGGTATATACCCAAAAAACTGAAAACAAGGACCTGAACAGATACTTCTATACCCATGTTCATAACAGGATTATTCATAACAGCCAAAAGGTAGTACAACCCAAGTGTCCATCAATGGATAAATGGATGAACAAAATGTGGTATATCCATACAATGGAATATTATTCAGCCTTTTTAAAAAAGGAAATTCTGGCACATGCTACAACATAAACCTGAGGACATTATGTTAGATCAAATAAGCCAGTTGCAAAAGGATAAATACTGTATGAGTCCATTTATAATAGGTACCAAGAGTAGTCAAATTCATAGACATGGAGAGCAGTAGTTACTAGTGGGTATGGGGAAGGGGCAATGGGGAGGTATTGCTTAATAGTAAGATTATTCTATTTCAGTTTTAGAAGTTTCATTTTTAGAATATAAAAACCTTCTGGAGAAGGATGATGGTGATAGTTGAAGAATAATGTAAATATACTTAGTGCCACTGAACTGTACACTTAAAAATGGCTAAAATGATAAGTTTTATGTCATGTAATTTTCTCATTATTAAAAATATAAATATATACACTTCAATAAAGCTGTTTTTAACAAACCCTGACAAATGAATGGCCAATTTACATGAAAATGCAAATGATTAAGAAGAATCTATGATTTCTTCCTTTTAGTGATAAAGAATGATACAGATAATACACTAGTGAAATTGGTCAGAATGGAGGGTTAGAAACCAGCAACCAGATTTTAATATATTTGAATTTGGGTGGGAGATGAGTTACCACGTTAGTGGTATAAGAATCCATAAGTCGACTCAGATAAAACAAAGCCCAGGTAAATAAGCATCTTTAAATAGATGTTCTGGTGACAGCTCCTTGAAGGATAGTGACAGCCCTTAAGTGCAATATCTGACCTGAGCATGTCTGTACATAATGAGCACAGAATAAAAATAGAAATGATTCTACTAAATGGGTATCTGGAAGCAAAGCTAATAGGTATATGCAAAAAGGAATAAACACTCACCAGCAAGAGTCCTAGAAAGCGGCAGATGTATGCTTACAAGATCCTCAGATACTCTGTAGGACTTCGTTTCCAAACTATGTCCACAGAATTGTACTACTGTCTTGCTACTAGACATGAAACTTGTACTGCACCTCATCACAGCTTTGTGACATTCTTTATAAGCCACAAGTAAGAGTTCTTCCTAAGAGGAAAATAATACAAAAAGTTGACAAGTTGTCTACTTCAACACCTTATTTTTTTTCAGATAGGCTGTCCTGTGGCCCAGGCTGGAGTACATGGCATGATCATAGCTCACTGCGGCCTCAACCTCCTGGGCTCAGGTGATTCTCCCACCTGAGCCTCTTGAGTAGCTGGAACTACAGGCACATGCCACCATGCCCAGGTTTTATTTATTTTTTGTAGAGGCAGGATCTCTGCATGTTGCCCAGGCTGGTTTTGAACTCCGGGGCTCAAGTGGTTTGCCCACCTTGGCCTCCCAAAGTGCATGAGCCACCATGCCCAGCATAACACACATCATTCAATACTTACTAAATATGAGTGGAAAATTGTACTAAGGCTACCTCCACAGGATTTGCAAACTTGTAGGAAATATAAGATATATCCATATATTCACTTATAATCAAATAAAAAATCAGCACTAAGTAAATGGTACAAACTAATTGCTCTAAGAGGGTTTAAAAAAAAAAAAGAATCACAAAGAATTGGGAAGACATATTTGTGAAAGCAGCTTCTGATGGGACCTAAAAGAATATGCAGATTTTAAGTATGAGGAAAGAGAAGCAGAAGATAGCATTCTAAGGAGAAATGTAGAATAAAGAAAGACAAAAATAAGAGAAATACAACTCCTATTCAGGCAGTGGAGAGAAATAAAGCATAAATGAAAGGATTTATGGATGAAATTAACAAGCATTTCAACTGGAAATGTGTCTTGACACAGACATGTGACTACACTGATGAAGTCTGCGGTGTAATAATGTAATTAACACACTGCTTCAAGAAGAATTAATGTGGGTCATTGAAGACCCACTGAAGATGGTAGATTGGAGACGATAAAGTTAGGAGATATAGAAACCAACAGAGAGATGACTATAAATTGATAAGGGTCTGAACTAGGGTGGGGCCGTCACAAAAGTAAAGAATGAACCTATAGAAAATAAGTTTGGATTATAAAATAAATTTGGGATAAGAAAGAATAAAATCTGGGTGAATATAGTAGGAAGAGAGATGTTAAAGATCACTCTCTTAAGGATAGTATTTCTGATTTTATCTTGAAAAAGGAACTCCACAGTCAAACAGATGGAAACATCCCTCTCAAAAATCAACATACTGACTAACTATAGGGTTTTAGAAATTCAGTAGCTTGCCAGGCGTAGTGGCTCACGCCTGTAATCCAAGCACTTTGGAGGCCAAAGCGGGAGGATCGCCTGAGGTCGGGAGTTCAAGACCAGCCTGACCAACACGGTGAAACCCCGTCTTTAAAAAAAAAAAGAAAGAAAGAAAGAAAAGAAATTCAGTAGCTTTAAAAAAAAAATCCTCTTTTTGTGTAACCTAACATTTCTGAATCTTATGTGAACCCTGAACATTTTTCCCTTCAACAACTTGTTAGCATTGAATATATTCTGGACTTGTGTTTCCTACTTTTTTATCAGCTATAAGAATATAGTGGCTCTGGGATTTCCCATATGGATAAATTTAATAGTAGCATCACTAATAAAACAAGGATAATCAAAATGAGAAAACGCAAGTTGGAAGCGGAGGGCAGCAGGTCTATTAAAAATATTCTGAGTTTAAGGTCAGGTGTGGTGGCTTCATGCCTATAATCCCAGCACTTTGGGAGGTCAAAGAAAGAGAATCACTTGAAGTCAGGAGTTTGAGACTAGCCTGGGCAACATAGCAAGACCTTGTCTCTGCAAAAAATAAAAAAATTAAAAAAATTAGCTAAGTGTGGTGGCATGTGCCTCAAGTCCCAGCTACTTCGGAGGCTAAGGTGGGAGGATCATGTGAGCCCAGGTCAAGGCTGCAGTGAACCACGACAGCGCCACTGTACTCCAGCCTGGGTGACAGAGCAAGACCCCGTCTCTAAAACACATACACATACACACACACACACACACCCCATAAGATCTAAGCAGGAATGTCTGGCACACAAACAGAAATGACACTGTACCTTAAGAGGGTCACCCTATGAACTTTTAACCAAGTGGTAGAAATACAAGAGAAGAGTAAAGAATGTAAGATATACACACTTACCATCAAAGTAAAAAAAAATTTAAGCACCATGTAAATGGGACAAACTAATTGCCCTAAGATGGCAAAGAAAAGAATCACAATTAATTAGGAAGACATATTTGTGAAAACATATTTCTGTAAGACAGAGAAGAGAGTATTGGGGAATGTCTCTTTTAGCAAGCAGAAGGTACCAGAAAAAAGGCAATCATTGACTGAAACAAGTCATCAATTATAAAAGTATTAAGATAATGCAGTTTGTGAAAACCAGAGGGAAAGAACGTTTCAAGGAGATTAAAGTACTCAAGCAAATACAATGCTACAGACAAGTCAAGGAAGATGGAAACTAAGAAAAGACCTCTGAATTTGGTTACCAAATGGATCCTCTGAGATTTTTTTTTTTTTTAAATGCAGTTCTTGTCAATTGCTAAGGGCAGAAGTCAAACTGCAAAGAAGTGTTAGAAGCCACAAGTGAAGATACCAAATGTATTTTCTTCTTTCGGAAGACATCAAGATGAAAATATACACCTTCATCTCATCACCTAACAATTGTGCATACCCTCCATAAAAGTGAGGGAAGCCAAAAAATATGTGTTGTGCTTGCTGGACAGTATTTCCTGTGCTGATTGTACTAAAAAGCTACAGCGCTAAACTCTATTGCATCTGTGAGTATGGCTGCTACTCTGAACCTGTGACCAATTGCTGGTGGTGAAGCAGAAGGGAAGAAGAAAAAGAGACCATAGTTCACAGGAGTAGCAAAGGCAAGAAAGGGGGCTTTTATTATTATTGTTTTTAAAAATAAGGGAGTCCTGTTTGTTTATAGTCAGCTCATTAAAAGAGTAGGAAGCACAGTCCAGATAATTCAGGATGCTAACTCCAGGGAAAAGTAACGTAAGTCAGAACCAAGAGCCTTCGTAGAGCCATTAGATTTAAAAAGAGACAAAAAGACCAATAGTGAAGACACAGAAAAACTTAGTCGCTGAATACGTAATGGTAACAGACACATAGAAACTGGAGATGATAAAGGAATTTAATTCAGCTAATGGTAATTTTCTCAGAAAATAAATAAATGAGGTCATCATTCTTAAAGGGAATCTGGGGTAGGACTGTATATTTAAAGAGGGTTATGGTCTAAAATTGTTGTTTAAGGAAATACATTAGTTCTGTATTTTGAAACTAACACAAATAACATGTGTTTTTTTTTTTTGAGATGGGAGTTTCGCTCTTGTTGCCCAGGCTGGAGTGCAGTGGTGTGATCTTGGCTCACCACAGCCTCCACCTACTGGATTCAAGCGATTTTCCTTCCTCAGCCTCCTGAGTAGCTGGAATTACAGGCATGCGCCACCACACCAGGCTAATTTTGTATTTTTAATAGAGACAGGGTTTCTCCATGTTGGTCAGGCTGGTCTCAAACTCGTAACCTCAGGTGATCCGCCCACCATGGCCTCCCAAAGTGCTGGGATTACAGGTGTGAACCACCATGCCCAGACATAACAAAGGTCTTGCATGAATAATCATCTACAGCTCTCCATTCTTGAAATATTTAAAAGTCCAATAAAGTCCTAATTATCATATTTTAATATGCATGTTTCAGGGAATAAATGTATATATAAATACAAACATACATATATAGAAACCCTGCTATTCCCTAAAATAAGCAAAACTACCATAGGGCACATTTTCTACTGAAGTATGTAGTTTCCTCCTAAATTTAAAAAGACGAATTCAAACATGTAAAAAGCTACTATGAATAACAAAAACTTTACATCAAGGAAGTTACAACATAAAACTATACTATTAATAATTACTATGAATGTAAAAAGGCACTGATCCTACTAACAAATTTTACTTACATCACAAGCACACCACTCTTGGAACATGAGTAAAATATTCTTTAATTGCATCTGTATAGCAATGGCAGCCTCCCAATCAGGATCCACTTCAATGTGTTGCCCAACCTGTCTTCGGATTTCTTCCATTCCCTGCAATTAAAAGTTGGTCAATATCTAACTGTTTGGGCCCTCTCTCTTTGCTCTGCTCTTGGCAAAATATAAAACTGTCAAGATTCACATGCATATATGCATAATATTTTAACATGTTTGTTACACTGGGTCAGAATGCATGGGTTCAAATCCCAGCTCTCAGGTGTATGCTCAGGGTTAGAATATAAAATGCCAAGCCCAGCCCTGTCTGGTATTTCTAGCTGTGTGACCCTGGGCAAATTATCTCTAAGCTTGGTTACTAAATGGATCCTTAGAGATTTTTTCTAAATGCAGTTCTTGTCAATTAAAAAGGGCATAAGTCAGACTCTAAAGAAGTATTAGAAGCTAAGAAGTGAAGATACTAAATGTAGATGAATTCAGAAGGTTTAGGAGATGTCAAGATGAAAACAGGTACCTTAACCTCATCACCTAACAACTGTGCATGCTTTCCATGGGTGGGGAAGGCAAAAAAAAATATGGGTTGTGCTTGCTGCACATGCAAGTAACCCTTACATGTAAAATGAGAATATTAATAGCAACTACGTAATAAGACTGCTATAAGGCTCAAAAGAGATCATGCATGAAAAGTACTTACTAAACATTTATCACATGGTAAGCATTCAGTAAACATTAACAGAAGTAGCAATAGGAGACTGGGCCCAGTGGCTCACGCCTGTAGTCCCAGCACTTTGAGAGGCTGAGTCGGGCAGCAAGGTCAAGTGAGCAAGACCATCCTGGCCAACATGGTGAAACACCATCTCTACTAAAAATACAAAAATTAGCTGCATATGGTGGCGCACACCTATAGTCCCAGCTACTCGAGAGGCTGGGGCAGGAGAATTGCTTGAACCCAGGAGGCAGAGGTTGCAGTGAGCTGAGATCGCACCACTGTACTCCAGCCTGGCGACAGAGCAAGACTCCATCTCAAAAAAAACAAAACAAAACAAAACAAAGTAGTAGTAATAGTAAACTAAGGTATATAAAAAGATCTATCAAAACAGGATGAGTGAGTCAATATTTAAATCTCGTTTCTACTTTGCTGGATAAATTCTTTCTTGTATTAAAACCAAAATTTGCTTTAAAAAGACTGGAGTTAAATTTTTAAAAATAAATTTCTCTTACTGATGTACAGAAAAATGATCATACCTGCATACAGGTAAGAATCTTCAAAAAAGATCGAAAACCTTCAAGGAACTGCATTCTTAATCTTTCTGTCCATATTGTGGGTTTGCTGATCAGGATATACCTATTGTTTCAAGAAAGAAAGAAATATTTGACTTCTCTATTTTGAGATAATTTTAAAGTTCTCAGGGTTATAGACAATGTTGATTTATAAAAAAATTATGGATTGCAATTTCTTACAATAATTAGAAGCTCTGAGTAGGGCTAGAATTATTTATCCTGCCTTATTTTAAATACAACCAGTAAAACATGAATGCTCTAGAAAAGGCATATAACAAGCTAACCCTGACTTCACACACTACATTCTCAGAGGTTAGTCTGATTAAGTGAACCTCGAACTGACCAAGCCTGTCACAGCTAACTCTAGACAACCACAGTACAGATTCCCTACAATTGTTTCTACCTCCAGGAGGTAGAAAATCTGTTCCAAATCTCCTGAAAACCTGGAAAAAGGATGTAAGCACCTGTCATCTTGACTTGCACATCAGGATGTACTAGTTTCAAGAGATAAACTCATTTTAGCCTATACTTTGTATGATCAATATTTCTTTTGACTGTAAAGACAATGACTGGTTTCACATACAATGGGAACAGTGTTTATCGTGAAATGAGTTATCAGGAAGTAATTCACAAGTATTAAACACTATTTTGCACTTGACCAATGAGAATAAATTCCTGTTATATAGCAGGTGTTGGGAACAAACATGGACAAGATACACCTGTCCTGAAGTTCAAAGTATAGTGAGAAAAACAGACACGTACAGTAGACAGAAATTCAATGTTAAACACTAAAAGAATGTATAAAGGAAGTAACGTAGGTACATAAAGACAAAGCAACAAAAAAAAACAAACATTTTTTTGAATTGTAAAGATAGGATTGTGGTTTAATTTTTCTCATTCTTTAGACATCCATTAATATGTAAATGTACATTAAAAATAGAATCATCAAAGGAACTTGTCAAAGATATAACAGAAATATGCTAATTACCATCTAAATCTTTTAAAGTAAAAGATAAAAAAGATTAAAATTCAGGCCAGGAGAGGTGGCTCACACCTGTAATCCCAGCACTTTGGGAGGCTGAAGCAGGTGGATCACAAGGTCAGGAGTTCAAGCCCAGCCTGACCAAGATGGTGGAACCCCATCTCTATTAAAAATACAAAAATTAGCCAGGAGCTGGGGCAGGAGCCTGTAATCACTGCTACTTGGGAAGCTGAGGCAGGAGAATTGCTTGAACCTGGGCGACAGAGGTTGCAGTGAGCTAAGATCCTGCCACTGCACTCCAGCCTGGGCGACAGAGCAAGACTCCATCTCAAAATTTAAAAAAAAGATTAAAGTTTAAAATCTGTCATATTGAACAAACAGCATTCATGTTTTGTTGCTTTCTAGAGCACTATTACTCAAAGTGTGGTCTACTAACCCATAACATCAGCCTCACCTGAGTGCTCTTTAGAAATGCAAAATCTTGGGCTCTAATCAGACTACTGAATATGAAGCCTCTTCCCCCGCCCCCACACCTCAACCCTGTTTTTTTTTGAAACTTGGCCTTACTCTGTTGCCCAGCTTGGAGTGCAGTGGTGCGATCATAGCTCACTGCAGCCTCAAACTCTTGAGCTCAAGTAATTCTTCTGCCTCAGCATCCTCAATAGCTAAGACTACAGACACATGCCACCAAACCTAGGTAATTTTATTTTTTTGTAGAGATAAAGTCTCACTATGTTTCCCAGGCTGGTTGCAACCTCCTGGTCTCAAGCAATCCTCCTGCCTCAGCCTTAGAAAGCACATGAGCCAACACAATTAGCCCCAGAATCTGAATTTTATAAAGCTCCCCAGATGATTTTCTTCTGCACAGCAAAGGAAACTATCAACAGAGTGAAGAGACAATCAACAAAATGGGAGAAAATTTTTGCAAACTATGCATCTGACAAAGGCCTAATAGCCAGCATCTATAAGGAACATAAACAAAATTTAGAAGGAAAAAAAAATTAAAAAGTGGGCAAAAGATATGAACAGAACACTTTTTAAAAGAAGACATACATGCGGTCAACAATCACATGAAATAAAGCCCAACATCACTCATCATTAGAAAAATGCAAGTCAAAACCACAATGAGGTAGCATATCACACCAGTCAGAATGGCTACTATTAAAAAGTAAAAAGTAACAGACGCTGGGGAGACTGCAGGGGAAAAGGAATGCTTATACACTGTTGGTGGGAGCATAAATTAATTCAAGCATTGTGGAAGACAGTGTAACAATTCCTTGAACGCTTAAAAACAGAAATACCCAGCAATCTCATTACTGGGTATTCATCTAAAGGCATATAATTCATTCTGTTATAAAGACACATGCACACATACGTTCACTGCAGCACATTCACAATAGCAAAGACATGGGATCAACCTAAATGCCCATCAATGACAGACTGGATAAAGAAAATGTGGTACATACATACCACAGAACGCTATGCAGCCAGAAAAAGAATGAGATCATGTTTTTTCTGAAAACATGAATGGAGCTAGAGGCCATTATCCTTAGCACACTACAGCAGGAACAGAAAACCAAATGCCACATCTTCTCACTTACAAGTGGGAGCTAAATGATGAGAACACATGGACACACAGAGGGGAAAAACACACACTGGGGGCTATCGGAGGATAGAGGTTGGGAGGACGGAGAGGATCAGGAAAAATAACTAATGGGCACTAGGCTTAACACCTGGGTGATGAAATAATCTTTACAACAAACCCCGTGACACAAGTTTACCTATGTAAGAAGCCTGCAAATGTATCCCTGAACTCAAAATAAAAGTTAAAAAAAAAAAGGCAGCTCCCCAGATGATTTGCATTCACATTAAAATTTGAGAAGCACTGATCTAGAACACAATTTACATTTTTGGTTTCTAGCAATCTCACATAGCTCATGAGTGACCTCTATAGATTACCTACTAAGTAAAGAAGATATAAGAGATTGGAACAAACAAAAATGTAAGGAAGAGAAGGAAACGGAGTCTGTAGAAAAAAATACGTGGCAAAAGCAATGGGACAAGAGGAAGAAAAGCGTGGAAAGGGTGAGACAATAAGGGACTGATTTGGTTTGAGAGTGTACTATACTTTCTGGAAATGGAACACAGGAAGAGGTTGAAGTAATAAAAGAATAATATCGTTCCCCAATAGAACCAAGATTCAACTGCATCTCTTTTCCAAGTTGCATTTCCACAATAAATTAGCAACTGAGAAACCAAGTACCCCATGAGATACCTCCCATGGAGCAAGTGACAAAACTAAATTAATAGGCATATATTTTTTAGAATAAGAGAGGTAGTAATCCCTCCCTTCTATATTTTACTGGGCAGATCTCAGTTATAGTGCTATGCTCATTTCTTGGCACATAAACAGTATACATGCACCCAGAACAGGTTCAGTAGAAAAGGATAATGATTTAGAAGTAATTTTAACCAACATGAAATAGGAAAAGTTAAAGAAATAAATGTAACAATATATAAAAGACTTGGCAGATATGACTGCTGACTTTAAATACTTCTTCAAGTTAAAGGAGAACTGAAGTTGTTCTGAATGGACAAAGAGAGAACTAGAACCAGAAAATAAAAGCCACAAAAAATATGTTCAATATGCAATAAGAAACTTTATAATAGTTGGAAGAAGCTATCCAAAGTTGGAATGTGCTGTTTTGAGAGAAGGAAAATTTCCTAAGGCAAGCTGAACAGAGTACCTACTAGTACCAACAAAGTTATTTCATGCTGAGGTACAGTCAGATAAACACCTACAAGTTCTGACAGAATTTAGACTTTATCCTGGAAACAAAATACATTAAGTATGGTTATTTTCTAACTTATTTAAAAACGAGGATTCGGGGGAAATTAGTAAATAAATATGTAAGGAAAGACTAAGATGTGACTGCAGAATTTCTACAATGAGAGACTGAGAAAAGAGTGAACACAAATTATTTGCTAAATAAAGGGTTTTTGTGATTAGTGTTTTAGGCCAGGTTTCAGAGCAGGTCTTGTGTTGCTGTTTATGTATCCTGTGAGGCTACATGATATAATGAAAGGAACATGAGTTTTACAGATAAAAAGTGTTTATGATCATATCTCGGTTCTGCCACTTACTAGCTTTGTGACCTTAGGCACATATTTACAATCTACAAAGGAAGACTGTATCAACTACCTTCTAAGAACGATGCAAGAATAAAATCAGGTAAAATAACTAAAGCTCCTCGGCACATAGTTACTAATAAATTTCACAGGATCCTTGTGAGAGTGAATTACACAGTACCTGTCAAACAGGGTCCCAAAATGTGTTAATTTTCCCTTCCCCTGGTCACTAGAGACATCCATATTTAGGATGGGGTGTAGGGGAGGAATTGTAAGCATCAGAAGATTTAAAGTTGCCATCCAAACCAGGGACCTTAAAGTTCTACTATAAGGGCAGGTATTTAGGGATGTGCTGGCTCGAAATTATTCACCTTAGAGACTAACTATAGTCAGAGACTATATGCACCACTTATCTGGATATAAAAATAACTCAGTTATAAAAATACTTCACAGTAATGACAGCCACAGTAGAGAGATTCTTTTTTTTCTATAAAGTAGACCAAGGATATTCACTGACTTAACAATAACTTTAAGTACTGCCATTAGCAGTTTTTGTTTTGCACAACCTCTCATTTTTGCACAATTTGGATAAGGAACAAATTTCAATCACAGTGGCTACATATTGATTAACTACTGAATTTACCTACCATCTCTACTTATACTGAAGATGAACCAAAACAATTTACTAAACTTGATTTTATTTTTTTAGAGATAGAATCCCACTCTGCTGCCCAGGCTGGAACGCAGTGGCATGATCATAGTTTACTGTAACCTCAAACTCCTGGAGTCAAATGATCTCGCCTCTGCATCCTGAGAAGCTAGGAATAAAGGCTTGCACTGCCATACCTGGCTAATTTTTATTTTTATTTTTTGTAGAAGCAAGGTCTTGCTATGCTTTCCAGGCTGGTCTGATATAGATGCAATTTTTTTAAATGGAGTATTTTCAGTCTGTGGTTGGTTGACCCACAGATAGGGAGAATCAACTGTATAGGAAAAAGGGAGTTTAAAAACCGTTTATAGCTAGGTGTGGTAGCTCATGCCTCTAATCCCAACACTTTCACAGGCCAAAGCAGAAGGACTGCTTGAGCCCAGGAGGTTGAAATTAGCCTGAGCAACAAAAAGTGAGACTTCATCTCTACAGAACAATAAAAAATTAGCCAGGTGTGGTGGGACATGCCTGTGGTCCCAGCTACATGGGAGGTTGAGGCCATGAGGTTGAGACTACAGTGAGCCATGTTTGCATCACTGCACTCCAGCTTGGGCAACAGCAGGATGCTGTATCAAAAAAAAAAAAAAAAAAAAAAAAAAAAAAAAAAAAAAAAAAAAAAAAAAAGAAAGAAAGTAAAGAAAGAAAGAAAGAAAAAAGAAAATAAGTAAAAGAAAAAGAAAGAAATTTACATCAATAGATTATCTGAAACTATGCACAAAGAGACTATACAGGAAGGACAAAACCAAAGCATGTAAGTGGAAGTGAGTGAAAAGTAAGGTAATTACAATGGAAATGCATTTGGTGATTCCAGGAGACCCCAAGTTCCTGTAAGAGGTCTCCCCACAATACTTTCTTTATTAACCAGGTTTTACAACTCAATAAGAAGCCTTTACTGAAGACATTTATTAACCCAAGGCAGTAACAGTTCTTTGCACTTGCCATCATTATAAAGAGAATTCTAGGTAAGTAAAATGATCAGAGGATTACTTATAAGACAGAGCAAATAAGCACACTGAGTTTAACAGGTGCCTTCACTTTTAACTTGAACAACTTACTTTAGGTCACATATTACTGCATATACTCTTCCCAATTTGTCCTGGCTATAACCCTGGAAGTTGAATTTATTGTTCCTGTCCAAGTACTCAGGTAAAACTTCTAGTAGAGTTTCAGTAATGACAGAGATAACATTCTGCTCTTCAATAAGATGTCGAGCCTGCAGAATATTTCAAGAATATTGTCTTTAGCATTAACTCATTGTGGTATGGACTTGATTTATTCATTCTTTTGGTTAGTAAGTCATTTTTAATAAATGTTTGTTACTGAATGTTAAACACAGTCCTTAGTCTCACTGCATAGCAACTACAAAGAAGTTATTTTCTAAAAGGAAAAATTCCCTACTCCTCCATGACTAGACAACATATATCTGGATACCCCAAATCCATTATACACATTATCTAGATAAATGTTTATCATCAGTAATCACACAATTAAGCCGGGTTTGTGGTGGCTCAAGCCTGTAATCCCAGCACTATGGGTGGCAGAGGCAGGCAGATCACCTGAGGTCAGGAGTTTGAGACTAGCCTGGCCAACATGGTGAAAAGCTGTCTCTACTAAAATATAAAAATTAGCCGGGCATGGTGATGCACGCCCGTAATCCCAGCTACTTGGGTGATTGAAGCATGAGATCACTTGAACCCAGGAGGTCGTGGCCGCAGTGAGCCAAGATCATCCCACTGCACCTCCAGCCGGGGCAACACAAGCAAGACTGTGTCAAAGAAAAAAGAAAAAGAAAAGAGAAAAGAAAAGAAAGAAAAGAAAAGAAAGAAAGTAAGAAAGGAAAGAGAGAAAGAGAGAGGAAGGAAAGAAAGAGAGAGGAAGGAAGGAAGGANAGGGAGGTAGGGAGGTAGGAAGGGAAGGAAGGAAGGAAGGAAGGAAGGAAGGAAGGAAGGAAGGAAGGAAGGAGGAAGGAAGGAAGGAAGGAAGGAAGGAAGGAAGGAAGGAAGGAAGGAAGGAAGGAAGGAAGGAAGGAAGGAAAATAAATAAGTAAGTATACAAAGGAAGCAGAATCTTCCACTCTCCTCCCAGGCCTATGTACCACCATCTCCCCCAAATGCTTGACAGGCACACCCTCCGGCTTCTTAGTTTTATCTTCCTCTATCTACCTACAAACAATTCTTAAAATATTTTTGGTATTGAAAAGGCAACATTCCTAAGTTACTAAGGTACTCTAGAGAGTAAGAAACCAGCTGTAGGTGTTATCTGCATTGACTAGGACATGTGAACCAAGGCAGTGCCTCGTTAACTAGTCCTTGGGTACCAATGAAGAATTCACAGAGCCCAACTTAGTGATTCTAACATTGTTCTAATTTGATTAAACATTAAGTGAAATTCTTACAAAGCAAAACAAGTTTTACTTGGGAAGACTGAAAAGGAATAATCAATACATACCAGAGTAGGAACAGTAAACATCTGAACTGAAAGTGCAGTTATAGAGATACTTCTGTCATGATCATCACTGATATATTCTTTCTGCAGTTGTTTATAATACTGAAATATATAGAGAATCAATCACAAATCACTACTAAAGACTTTTAAAAATCCCAATTTTAACAACTGCTACAAGTTTGTTTCTGTCTATAAAATGTCAAGTAATATAATTCCTATTTATTAAGGCAAGATCAGCAAAAATATCTTAGAAGGAGAAAAACAACGAATCAAGTAAAAATTCACCTACTGAATTTAGCAGATAGGAGTGGAAACTATTAAAACATACACATGGTGGGGAGGGGGCGGTTAAAAACAACAACAACAAAAAAAAAAAAAACAGAGGACTGTAATAGTATACTTTATCCTTTCTCCAAACAGAATCTGAGGCAATCTTTAGCAGCTTCTACTCTAATGGTATAGGGCAGGAGATATATTCAAAGTATTTAACAGCTGATATAATTCAGAAAAACCAACCAATCAGACTGAATCTAGCCTTAAACAGAATGGATCCTGGCTGTAAATAACTTCTTTCCCATTCTGGTGCATAACAGTTGCAAAACAACCCTGATATGCTGGGAGAACAAAAATAGTAATATACTCAGTCACATAACAAGCATCTACATGTGTAAGGCACAAAGTTGGATACTTAACCTATGTAATTAATTTTACCCTCTGGAATTCCTACAAAGTTTAAGGTGTAACCATGGTGTATGAAAAAAAAAATCATCTAAGTAGGGAGATTAGCTTTTGTATAAGAAAACAAAATTTCATTTCAGATCACACATATGGTCCAATATTCTCTATCTAAAGAGTTTTGGAAGAGAAAATCTTGAGTTGCCATCACTGCTGAAAGATAAGACATACAATAAATGTCTTAGTTAGTCTGAATATAAAATCCAGGGAATGCAGGTATCTTATCCCACAGTGTCATTTGCCTACAACAATCATTATTTCTTTCTCTGCTCCTAATTCCATCTTCGGTCCCATATGTATCTTAAGTCTTACAGAATTGCCTGCAACCCAAAATCAGAAGAAATCAACAAGTATTCATTGGATACCTTTATATAAGGCAAAGTAAAAGATTCAGAGGAGTCCCTGATTTGTATAACCTTGCAATCTAATTTGGCAGGTAGACAAAAAAAAAACACAATAAGGTAAGATATATACGATAGATTAATAAAACATTAAAAAGCTGTAAAGGTTAGCCTTGCATTTTAGCTTCCAACAATTAAATAGAACTCTTGGCCACCTAATTCCTGTCCCCTGCTTTAGCATGCACATCTGTTCTTCTTTTCTGCTATCCTTTTCAATTACTCACTTCTATTCTTATTGTAATTTTACTAACAGGCAAATAAATGATTAGAAAGATTGAATGCACATGTGAATGTGATAACCTCCCTTTGCTCTGGGTCAGTAGGTTATTTTCCACCTATCTCTTCTCCAAGAATCCTGTTTCCATACTACCAAATGACATTTGTGAAAATGTTTATGCAATGTATGAGAACGAACTTTTTTCTTTTTTTGGAGATGAAGCGTCTCTCTGTCACTCATGCTGGAGTGCAGTGGCTTGATCTTGGCTCATTGCAAACTCTGCCTTCCAGGTTCAAGTGATTTTCCTGCCTCAGCCTCTTGAGCAGCAGGGACTACAGGTGCCTGCCACCATGCCTGGCTAGTTTTTATATTTTTAGTAGAGATGGAGTTTCACCAGTTGTCCAGGCCGGTCTTGAACTCCTGACCTCAAATGATCCACCCACTTCGGACTCCCAAAGTGCTAGGATTACAGGCGTGAGCCAACCTGCAGGGCCAAGAACTAACTTTTGACAAAGAAATATATAATGACATTTAATTCTTGATTCATAATTATCCCTGTTTCTATTAATTCGTTTATAAAAACTGCCTATTTCTATTTATTGATAAGTAATTTATAAATAATTACCTTCACAAATTCCATAGCAAAGAGTTTTTTGTATTCCATCTCCATAAAAAAACTGCTGAAGATCAATTCATGAATGATCTTACGGGCACCTATAGATTATTTTGGGGAGAGTGGAATAAGAGGAAATCACCAAGGCAAAAACCAAAAACATTCCAGGTATTAGAGTGGCAGAATATTAGAATTATTTCATATGCACCTCTCCCACCACTTCATCTTACACTTCAATTTATCCTCTCCCAACCTTTTCATTTTCTATTTAACTCAAAAGTACTCTAATTCCGTACTTTTCCTTTTCCATGCTTTTAGCTTTTCTCTTGACTTTTGTGTTTTGTTCTTCATGTAGATTTTCACAACAAAAACAGCTTTTTTTTTTTGCCATTCAATAATGGCACTACATGAATATATAGATATATGTATAGACATAAACACCATTTTGACTGGCACTCACTAAATAAAAAGGCTGTGTACTTAAAACACAACATCCCTGGGTTTTAACACCAAAGAATACATACTGACTGATTAAACTTTATATTCACATGTAATCTCTTATCAATCAAAATCACAGATTTAATAACTAATTTAATAAATAAAAGATATTACAGCTCTAGTTTAAGGTCATAATCTTCCTTTGCTTCCCAACAAACAGCATAAGCAACTGTCTACTTACCTTTATAAAGCTTTGCATCCCAAAGCATTAACCTGCTTATGAGACAGGGATTCTCTGAGCCAGGTTCTTCTCTAAGGCATGCTTGGCAAAAGATCTGCCTAAAGTCACCTATAAACAAAAGAGGTCACACAATTAAACAACTTGTATTCTTTTTTTTTTTAAATAGAGATTGGTCTCGCTTTGTTGCCCAGGCTGGTCTTGAACTCCTGGGCTCAAACGATCTTCCTGCCTCAGCCTCTCACAGTGCTGGGATTACAGTCATAAGCCACTATACTTAGCCATAATTTTTTTTCTTATAATATTTCTCCTAAAAGTACATTTCCTATAATAACATATAAAAAGACTAACAGTAGTCCTCCCACATTTGATGTAAAGAATAATTCTGTCAATATCAAAGACTCAACCAATAAAAAGATAGTACTTGATACTGTGCACTTGAAATAATACCTTATGATATTATGCATCTGAAATGCAATCCTGAAAATTAACGAAGTGTATAAACCAAAAAAAACTTTATTTCATACACAAATGGCATTTTAAAATTTGTGGCTATAAAAAACACAAATATTTTATCAGAAACAAGAAAAACAGGAGGTATGCTTACTTGAATAGCTCATAATTTTGTTCATCCAGGAACCAAGACGCAAAGCAAATTTCTGATGAGCCATAATCTCTGAGTGTAATACTTCTACATGAAGTGGATGTTGAGAGACATTTTCTGAATGACTCTACAAATGAGGGAACAAACCAAAAAACTAGCATTTAAAACTTGCTTTCAGCTGAGGGATCTAGACTTCAAAAAAAGAAATCACATAACCCAGTCAGTTCCAAATCTCTGCATCTAGGTGCCCCAAACCACTTCAACAATATCACTCAAATCATTTTACTTGAGTTCTTATAGTGTACATTTGTCTTTAACGTCTCTTTTTCCCCCTAATTCAGGAAGTTACCTTTATATCTTCCTTTGCTTCCTGGCAAGCAGCATAACCACCTGCTTTAACAGCCCGACGACCCTAATTATAGACAAAAGTGAGAATTAGGTAGTGAAATGATAACCACAATCAATAACCAATATGTAGCCCAAATACTTAATGAGCTCTCAATTACTAAGCACTTGTTGACTAAAAGTTTTAAGTTACTGGAACAATACCTGAAAGACAGATACAAATGTTTCACACCTTTATGAAGTATGAGAACTTTCAATGCCTCTAGGAGAGATGTTCTGTAATTTAAGATACTGAGTTTCTTGCCTGCAAGAATGCCCCTTCTTTAGTTACTTTAGTGTTCTCTCTACTTATATGAAACAATGACTCAGGTTTTCTAAACTTCCGCTATGTGTTTAAAATATTCTTTATGAAGGAATTCACAGCTCCTTAACATGTATCCTAATATATACTTGTGGCCTATTAACAGGCTGGAAGTATAACAACTACTGATTCCACCAGTCCTGGAGGCAGTCATGCAAGCTCTATGTAGAATTTCCTTTGTAGCTCATTCTTTTACCCATCTATAAAAATTTATCATTTTCTATGTATGCCATTTGAATAAAGTCAGGAAGCACTGTCTTCCTCATTTAACCTCTACAATCACCCTATGAAGAAGGTACACCCCATTTTACAGATGACAAAAAGAAAAACAAAACAGAATTAATGTATCTCCAAATCAGAAAGTTAGCAAGTGACAGATTCAGAGATACATGACAAGTAGTTCATCTCCAGAGTCTGCACTTCTAGCCATCCTATAATAGTCCCTCTTAAGCTCCTTAGGACATAAGCATAAGAACTATCCAAATATATTTGGACTACTCATTACACCAGTAAGGTTGCCATTACAGAAAAAGAAAAATGCACAAAAACTCAGGCTGTAAGAGATTTTTAAAAGAACAGATAAGACAAGAATAGTTGTATGAACTCTAGCTCAATGACTTTATGTGATGCTGGCAATTAACCTAAAGCAGTGCATCTCAATAAACCGGGGGAAGAAAACGACCTCATATCCATATTTTTTGGCTGCTATCAAAAAATGACAGGAGAGTTGGCTGCTGATCATGGCGGACAGGAGGCAGGAGTAGATTGTAGCTCCGACTCAGATGGATGGAGCAGTGCATGGAGGCTCACATCATGAATTTTAACTCCAGAATTTTAACAACTGCAAGAACAAACCAGGAATCCAGAGAGGACCCACAGACCTTCTGAAGAAAGCAAACTGCTCCTGCAGGACCTGGGAGACACCTCAAATACTCACTCTCACTACTGGCTATCTATCCAGAGGAAGTCATTATATGAAAGATACTTGCATATGCATGTTAATAGCAGCACAGTTCATAATTGCAAAATCATGGAACAAACTCAAATGCCCATCAGTCAATGACTGGATAAAGAAACTGTGGTGTATACACATACACATATGCGTGCACACACACGATGGACGATTACTCAGCCATAAAAAGGAATGAACTGACGGCATTTGCAGCAACTTGGATGAGACTGGAGACTATTATTCTAAGTGAAGTAACTCAGGAATAGAAAACCAAACATCATATATTCTCACTGATATGTGGGAGCTAAACTATGAGGATGCAAACACATAAGAATAATAGAATGAACTTTGGGGACTTGGGGGGAAGGGTTGGAGAGGGACGAGGGATGAGAGACCACAAATAGGGTACAGTATATACTGCTCAGGTGATGAGTGCACTAAAATCTCACCACTAAAGAACTTACTCATGTAACCAAATACCACCTGTACCCCAATAAGCTATGGGAAAAAAAATGAGTTGGCTATAAAAAAAAACACTAATAACAAGTATTAACAAGGATGTGGAGAAACCCTTGTGCACTGCTGGAGAATATATAAAATGGTGCAGCTGCTATGGAAAACGGTATGGTTGTTCCTCAAGAAATTAGAAATAGAATTCTTATATGATCCAGCAGTTCCACTTATGGGCATGTACCCAAAAGAACTGAAAGCAAGGACTTGAACGAACATTTGTGGATCCATGTTCATAAGAGCATTATTCACAATAGCAAAAGGTGGAAGCAACCCAAGTGTCCATTGACAAGATGCACAGGTAAACAAAATATGATGTGTGTGCATACATAGTGTATACAATACAAAACTGTAATCTGTGTGTATATATATATGCCATATATGCCATATACTCTATGTATGTATATACCATATATATGTATGTGTGTATATACAGTAAAAAATATATATTTATATACAAATGTAACATTTGTATATAAATATATATTACACACATAGTATAACACTATTCAGCCTTAAAAAAGAAATCCCACCACTTGGCAAAATGTGTGTATTTTATATGTATATGATATAATATTACACACATAGTACAATATTATTTATTCAGCCTTAAAAAAGAAAGAAATCCCATCACTTGATAAAATATGGATAAACTTTGAGGACATTATACTAAGTGAAATAAACCAGTCACAAACAGACAAATACTGCATGATCCCACTTATATGAGCTATCTAAAATAGTCAAGCTCTTAGAAAGCAGAATTGGTGGTTGCCAGGGGCTAGAGGGAGGGTAAAAGGGGGAATTGTTCAATGAATATAAAGTTTTAGTTCTGCAAGATGGAAAAGTTCTAGAGATCTGCTGTATAACAATGCACATAGTTAACACTAGTATACTGTACCCCTAGAAAAAGATTAAAATGGTATATTTTGTTATGTAGATTTTACCACCATTAAAAATTTTATTGAATGAATGAATGGAGATGGAGTCTCACTCTGTAGTCCAGGCTGGAAGACAGTGGTGTGATCAAAGCTCACGACAGCCTTCAACTCCCAGACTCAGCCTCCTAAGTAGCTGGGACTACAGAAATCCAATAAAAATAACCTTTCTTAGTGACCAAAAAATGGGGGTGGGTGTAGATCAACTGGAGGGAGGCAGTGTTTTCAAAGTACGCGGTCATTTCTTTCCTCTTCTCTTCTCCATACTCCTAATTCTGATTTCCTAGGTTTGGGCTGGCATGTCTACTCTGAAAAAAAAAAGTATTTCCAAGTGATTTCTAATAGGTTACCTTTATCCTCATACTATAGCTGAAAACACAGAACTACAAGAGTGTATCTTTAAGGGTTTGTAAAACAGACTAACTGCAAGAGTTTCTTCTAGCCAAGGAGTACATTTTTCACCTTAATTGGGTGTACAACCTTATCTCATGTCCTATTTTACCTTCTGAATAATCATTTATTAAAAAACTTTTCTTGGAATCACCATCGCCTTATGGAGTCTTTGGACCCCCAAAACAAGACAACCTATGAGTAAGTAGATTAGCTGTAGCTACAGGCCTTCTCCACTTTGACTACAGAGGAGAGCAGTAACAGGAATAAGACTAGGAAGAGATAGGGCAAAGACTGGGAGACACAGATCTTTCCATTCCATATGAAAACCAACAAAGCACAGCCCCATGCTTTCCCAAGCCAATTCTTCTCCTGGGACACTGGTTTACCCTACTGGTATGTGTCTTCTAAGAGTCCTAAGATCATGGTAGCTTACAGTAATCTTCCCAGAATATATCTTGGTATCTACCAAGATTTTCTCTTATAATCTGCAATATTAACCATGTACATAAGATGGCAAAAATATGACCTGGGGGCTAGGCACAGTGGCTCACACCTGTAATCCCAGAACTTTGGGAGGCCAAGATGGGCAAATCATCTGAGCCCAGGAGTTCAAGATAAGTGTGGGCAACATAGTGAGACCCTGTCTCTTAAAATAAATTATTTTTTTTAATGTGAACTTAAAAAGAACACCATTACATATGTAAAATTTCTCTTGAATGCCTGTTTCTTTCATAAGAACAGTATAGAATAATCATTTGAAGGCAGATTCAATCTGATTCATCTTTGTATTTCCTCAAAGTGCTTTAATAAATGTTTAGTGAAATGATTTATAGTACCACATTTTAAGATAATCTCTGATAAACTATTATTTACCTAGGGGGAAGAGGTGGAGAGAAGGAAATAGAGCTTGATCAGTATGAGCTTATTATCATAGAACATTAGAAGAAAACAAACATAAGAAATTATAGTCTTTAAAAACTATTTGATGGGTTACTGTCTGAAAGCAAAAGAAGACCTCTTCTGGGTTGTTTTAAAAAAATTAGTCTGAAAGCACATGGAGACAGATTTTGGGTTAACACAGGAAAAAAAAATGTCTAAGAATGAGAGTTGTCCAACAAGCCAAGCAATCAGAGAAACAAACTCTCTAAGTGCTCAAAGCACAAGTTAGAGGACCAAGGATACTGTGCTCTCAGTATGAGGACGGCCAACTGCAGTGGTTTTTCACTATTTCCTATCTTACATCTTTTTTTTTAAGAGATAGAATCTTGCTCTGTTGCCCAGGCTAGACTGAAATGGTGCAATCTTGGCTCACTGCAACCTCCACCTCCCAGGTTCAAGTGATTCTACTTCCTCAGCCTTCTGAGTAGCTGGGATTACAGGCATGCACCTCCATGCCAGGCTAATTTTGTATTTTTAGTAAAGATGGGGTTTTGCCATATTGGCCAGGCTGGTCTCCTGACCTCAGGTGATCTGCCCGCCTCAGCCTCCCAAAGTGCTGGGATTACAGGTGTGAGCCACCACACGCAGCCCTATCTTACATCTTAATACTCACTTTATCACCAAACAGGATCATACTAGGACAAAAACAAAGGCTCCATTTTTCTCCTAAGAAGAATATTTAAAGATTGTCTTTTAAGGTCTTTTTGATTATAGCCACCTAATGTTTTCCGAATGAGACAGGGTATAAACATACATCTAATAATTATTGTGAAAATCCAACATCCCAAGTAGGTTTTACTTTATACAACTAGTACTGTAGTTGAAAATCATGAGCCTGATTAACCTTTAAAGTTCCTTCTATAGCCTATAACTACAGTGTACCAATGGTAATATAAGTATTGACATCTGATCAAACCTGGTATCATTCTGAAGGACTAAAAACTATTTGTTAAATACCCCATTTCGTTTTTTTTCTTCCATTATTTTTGGCTTTTCTTTCTTTTGCCTTCTTTTCTCTTTCTTCCTCTGATTGGTTCTCCTTTCCTAGTCTTCCCCCTCCTTTTTTTTTCTTCTTTTAAGTTCCAGGGTACAAGTGCAGGATGTTCAGGTTTGTGACATAGGTAAACATGTACCATGGCGGTTTGCTGCAGAGATCAACCCATCACCTAGGTATTAAGCCCAGGATCCATTAGCGATTCCTCCTGATACACTCTCCCCCCCATCCCCCAACAGGCCCCAAGTGTGTTGTTCCCCACCAAGTGGTCATGTGTTCTCAGCATTCAGCTCTACTTATAAGTGAGAACATGCAGTATTTGGTTTTCTGATCCTGTATAAGTTTGCTGAGCATAACGGCTTCCAGCTCCATCCACATTCCTGTAAAGAACACAATCTTATTCCTTTTTATGGCTGCAATTCTCTAATGATCAATGATGTTGAGTTTTTTTTCACGTTGGCTGGCTGCAAGTATGTCTTCTTTTGAGAAGTTCATGTCTGTTTATGTCCTGTGCCTACTTTTTAGTGAGGTTGTTGGTTTTTTTCTTGTAAATTTGTTTAAGTTCATTGTAGGCTGGGTATTAAATCTTTGTCAGATGGACATATTGCAAAAATGTGATCTTATTCTGTAGGTTGTCTGTTCACTCTGATGACAGTTTCTTTTGCTGTGCAAAAGCTGTTTAATTAGATCCCATTTGTCAATTTTTATTTTTGTTGCAATTGCTTTTGGTGTTTTTGTAATGAAATCTTTGCCCATGCCTATGTCCTGAATGGTACTGCCTAGATTTTTTTCTAGGATTTGTTTTTTCAGATGAAGTCTCACTCTGTCGCCAGGCTGGAGTGCAGCAGCGCGATTTTGGTTCACTGCAACCTCCACTTCCTAGGTTCAAGCGATTCTCCTGCCTTAGCCTCCTGAGTACCTGAGACTACAGGCATGTGCCACCACGTCCAACTTATTTTTGTATTTTTAGTAGAGAAGGAGTTTCATGATGTTGGCCAAGATGATCTCAATCTTTTGACCTCATGACCTGCCCACCTCAGCCTCCCAATATGCTGGGATTACAGGTGTGAGCCACCATGCCCAGCCAATTTTCTAGGGTTTTTACAGTTTTGGATATTACATTTAAGTCTCTACTCTATCTTGAGTTAATTTTTATATAAGGTATAGGGAAGGGGTCCAGTTTCAATTTTCTGCATATGACTAGCCAGTTATCCTAGCACCGCTTATTGAATAGGGAATCCTTTCCCCATTGCTTGTTTTTGCCATGTTTGTCAATGATCAGATGGTTCTAAGTGTGCAGTCTTATTTCTCAGTTCACTATTCTGTTCCATTGGTCTATGGGTCTGTTTTTGTACCAGTACCATGCTGTTTTGGTTACTATAGCCTTGTAGCAGAGTTTGAAGTAGGGTAAAGTGTGATGCCTCCAGCTTTGTTCTTTTTGCTTAGAATTGTCTTGGCTGTTGAGGCTCTTTTTTGGTTCCATATGAATTTTTAAATCATTTTTTCTAATTCTGTGAAGAACATTAATAGTAGTTTAATGGGAATAACACTGAATCTATAAATTACTGTGGGCAGTATGGTCGTTTTCACAATGTTGATTCTTCCCATCCATGAACATGGAATGTTTTCCCATTTTTTGTGTCCTCTTGAGCAGTGGTTTATAGTCTACCTTGAAGAGGTCCTTCACTTCCCTTGCTAGCTGTATTCCTAGGTATTTTATTCTCTCTGTAGCAATTGTGAGTGGACGAGTTCATTCATGCTTTGGCTCTCTGCTTGCCTGCTATTGGTATGTAGGAATGCTCTTTTGCCTGCTAAATCTTCACCTTTCTTGTGATCTTTAAGGACTGCCTTACCTTCCTTTTTCTCAATCTTCTTAACTGCAGATAAATATAGCTTTCAACCATTCCTCTTAAAACTCACTCATACTGCTGGCTCTTCACTTCCTTACAATAAATCTAATTTCAGAAATCTACCAACCACAGAGAACACACTTATTAAAATACTTGAGCTGTGTTAAATTACAAGGAAACTGGAAAGAGTCAATCTGAGACCAGTAATGATTAACACAGATTTAACACCTCCACTTGACTATATCTAACTTATAAGGTCATCCAAAATTTAGGAGAAAACACAGCTCACATTTATATGCTGATCATATCAGTAAATAACTGTTTATTTTAGCCTTTGAGCAAACAGAGACTTATTTATATAGAAGAAAAATGCTGGAAAAAACATAGGCTGACCAAAATGTGCTCCTTGAATTGGGAGTACAAAAATCACCTGGGAACTTGTTAGAAATGAAGAACTGAACTGCATACCCCATAGCAAATCAGAATTTACATTTTGCTTTGCTTTAGTTTTTTTTTGTAGAGACAGAATCTCGCTATGTTGCCCAGGCTGGTCTCAAACTCCTGGCCTCAAGCAATCCTCCTACCTCAGCCTTCCAAAGTGCTGGAAGTACAGGCATGAGCCACGGCACCTGGCCCCTAGAATCTGCATTTTTTTTTTTTTTTTTGAGACAGAATCTCCCTCTGTTGCCCAGGCTGGAGTGCAGTGGCATAATCTCGGCTCACTGCAACCTCTGCCTCCTGAGTTCAAGCGATTCTCCTGCCTCATCCTCCTAAGAGAAGCTGGGACTACAGGTGCCCACCACCATGCCTGGCTAATTTTTTTGTATTTTGAGTAGACATGAGGTTTCACCATATTGGCCAGGTTGATCTCAAACTCCTGACCTTGTGATCCGTCCACCTCAGCCTCTCAAAGTGCTGGGATTGCAAGCGTGAACCACCAAGCCCGGCTTTCTTTTTTCTTTTTTTTAGATGGGAGTCTCGCTCTGCTGCCCAGGCTAGAGTGCAGTGGCACAATTTTGGCTCACTGCAACCGCCGCCTCCCAGGTTCATGCAATTCTCCTGCCTCCTTAGCCTCCCAAGTAGCTGGGACTACAGGTGCATGCCACCACACTGGGGTAATTTTTTGTAATTTTTTTAGTAGAAACGGGGTTTCACCATGTTAGCCAGGATGGTCTCAATCTCCTGACCTCATGATCCACCCACCTCAGCCACCCAAAGTGCTGGGATTACAGATGTGAGCCACTGTGCTCAGCTGCATTTTTAATAATGTGAATTATTAAACTTTTCATGTTAAAATTAAACTTTGAAGAGTAACATTCTAACCAGAATTCTTTTTTTTTTTTTTTTTTTTGAGACGGAGTTTCGCTGTTGTTACCCAGGCTGGAGTGCAATGGTGCGATCTTGGCTCACTGCAACCTCCACCTCCTGGGTTCAGGCAATTCTCCTGCCTCAGCCTCCCGAGTAGCTGGGACTACATGCGTGCGCCACCATGCCCAGCTAATTTTTGTATTTTTAGTAGAGACGGGGTTTCACCATGTTGACCAGGATGGTCTCGATCTCTTGACCTCGTGATCCACCCGCCTCGGCCTCCCAAAGTGCTGAGATTACAGGCTTGAGCCACCGCACCCGGCCTTCTAACCAGAATTCTTATCTACTCATAATGGGTTACTGGTGTGCCAAGATACTGATCCTCTTAATTCTCCAGGTACTAAACACAGGTTTATGAAATAGAGATAATAATATTATCAATCTCAAAGGGTTTACTTATGGCTATGGGGGTTAAATGAGATATTACATATAAAGTATACCATGTCTGACATATGTAAATACTTCGAAAATGTTAGCTATTACTAGTTATTCATATCCTTTTGTTTTTTTCATTTTATTTGCTCTTTCATTAATGATTTGCAATCACATAAGCTATACATAAGAAACACAGAGAAAGTTAATCCCCTATTCTAATTCTATATTAAACCATGTGTTTTTAAAAAGTATATTAAAAATCAAAAAATTAAATTACTAATGTCATGCTATTTCTTACACTAGATTATATAGCACCCAAGGGCAAGGATGAAGTTAATATTCCTTTTATATACTTATATTACCCAAAGAACCCATTTTGCTCTGGATGGATGTTAAATAAGCTAAGCCATAGAATACTATTCTAAAAATAATTTAAATAAATCATGTTAAGACTTCCAAAATGATCAACTTTTCATAATTCATGCACTTATTCATTCATTCAATAAATAATTATACGACCAGACTAAAGTTGAGCTGCCATTCTTACCTATGCTTTCCCAAATAAATTCAGTAACTTTCTATTTATTTAAAATAAAAGATAAAAGTTACAAATAATTATCTAAAACTATGATACACACCCACAAAATTGAAGTTCTAACCAATTTACCTAGGATGTAAGGAATAAATGGAGAGGATGGTTGTCCCTAGCACAGTACCGAGCAAGGATTCAGTCAACACCTGGCTGCCAGAAGCTGATAGAAAACAGAAACATAATTCAAAATGAAACTACAAACCTCTCTGTCTATGGCAGTGGTATGCAACTGGGCCTCTGTGAGCTCACAGTCAAGAGCCCTTTGTAGGCTATATATGACGTGGTCGTATGAATGGTGTTCATCATTGAAAAGGACACAATAGTATCTTTCATTTTTCTTCCTGTTAGAAAAAATATATTTATATATAGATACAATAACAAATAAACAAAGGAAAAGTAAATAACACCATAACACTAATAAAGAATTTAATTTTTTTTTTTTTTGAGACAGGGTCTCACTCTGTCACCCAGGCTGGAGTGCAGTGACACAACCTCAACTCACTGGAACCGCTGCCTCCCAGGCTCAAGCAATCCTCCCACCTCAGCTTCCTAAGTAGCTGAGGCTGAAGGCGCGTGTGACCATGCCCAGCTAATTTTTGTATTTTTTGTATAAATGGGTTTTGCCATGTTGTCCAGGCTGGCTGTGAACTCCTAAGCTCAAGCAATCTGCATGCTTCCAAAGTGCCATGATGATAGGCAAGAGCCACCACACCCAGCCCAGAATTTAAGTGGTATAGTGCCATGACTTTTTAAAACTCTGATAAAAGTATTTCCTTTTCCATGTTTTTCCCCCAATTTTTCGTATTACTTTCAAAAGCCTCAGTTTAGTGACTGCATGTTTTTGGGGTTTTTTGGTATTTTTTGATATGGCGTCTTGCTCTATTGCCCAGGCTGGAGTGCAATGGCACCATCTCAGCTCACTACAACCTCCATCTCCCGGATTTAAGTGATTTTCCTGCCTCAGCTTCCTGAATAGCTGGCATTACAGGTGCACACCACCATGCCCAGCTAATTTTTGTAGTTTTAGTAGAGACAGTGTTTCACCATGTTGGCCAGGCTGGTCTCGACCTCCTGACCTCAGATGATCAGCCTGCCTCGGCCTAATTGTACATTTTTAATACTACCCTTAACTCTTGCACAATGACACTGAAGCAATCCTCCTTTTTTAACAAGCAGATGGCTCACATTATGTTTACCAACATAAAGTGTCTTAAAAGATTTAACTGACATTAACACCTGTTGGAAATTAAAATATTTGTGGATACAATTTGTCATAACACTTATTTCCACAAGTGGTTTTTGGACTAATAAGAGGCAAAATAGTACATTTAATGTCTGTATTAATTACAATTCTTACTTGTTTCTCCCTTTAAAAACAAAACAAATGAAAATAGCCAATAAACTCAATGACTATTTAGATTGGTGCTGCAATTTTGTGAAAATGCTAATATTACAGAGGTAGAAAAATTTCAACACGGCTCAAAGTGTATCTTCATAACAGGTCCAGAATTCCTTTTTACATTTGTAAGGTAAGAGCAAATATTACTGTCACCAAATGACTTATGGCTACTAGAAATTGCTGAGTTTTAGCTTAAAAAAAAAAGGTACATCCCTACAATTGCAATAATCCTAAACCAAAGCACAGGATAAAGGGCCCTTTTATCATTCCCATCAAACTTTTCTTGATCAGGAAAAGAGCTAAAAACCTGGGCTAAAAGGAGACACACTGTTCCAAAGTCCCTATCTTTGTTCACACAAACCTCAAACTGGACATTGGTCCAGGCCACGATCAAACTGGGCAATTTACTTACCTACTGGGATGAGAGGCTGCTATGTCCTTATAAATCATGTAGAACAAGATCCCCAAAATGTTAATTTTTTTTTTTCTTTTTTTTTTGTCCTAAAAATTCAAAGCTCCTGCCTGATAGACTGTTCTTTTGGCTTAACTTCTGGATAGTGCCCAGCAAAGTATCTCATACAAACCAATATTCTGAAATACTCCCAAGAGAAAAGTCACTATGAATTTTTCATAATAATAATGAATTAGGCAGTAAATAACAAAAACAATTATCAAACACACATTTTGCAATATAAATAACCATCAGTAAAACTTGCTCCCTTTGACAATTTTCCCCACCTTATCTGGAGTTCAGGAGGCAGTTCTTTTTCTTCTTCCCATATAGTCATTTCTACGATGTATTTTATCACTGAAGGAAATATTTTCCTGGCTTGTGCAATTACCTCTTCATTCAACGGACAGCGTGAATTCTATTAAAAAGCACAGAAAAACATACTAGTCAAGATTATATACAAATAAATGGATAAAGAATGTTAATGTTAGGTGATGGGGAGGAAGGCCGCAAACCACAATGCCATGTGTGTACCTATGCAATAATCTTACATGTTCTTCACATGTACCCCAAAACCTAAAATGCAATAAAAACTTTAAAAAAAGAAAAATAAAAGAACGTAATATTAAGTTAAAATAATCACTTTGCTGAATTCATTACATCTTCCAGGAACAAATTCAAGTTGAACTCAAGAGGGTTGCTATGTATTTAGATCAGTTTAGTTTAACCCCTGTAGACAAGCTGGTGTTACTGATGACAGAAAAGAGGCAGAACCAAGGAGTCTCCCCATTAGTGATATACTCTCTTATGAACGTTCCTCCTTGCCTTTCTGAGTAGCTAATTATGATGATATCGCATAATAATTGTTTATCCCTTATAGCTTACAAAGACTTTTCTCATAACTTGTTTCCACAGATCCTCATGGCTACTCTCTAAGGCAGAACAGGTATTAATAACATTGAAAAGAAATGGAACCCAGCCAGTCACAGAGGGACAAATACTGTATGATTCTGCTCATATGAAGCATCTAAAGTAGTCATATTCATAGAAGCAGAAGATAGACAAGTGGTTTCCAAGCGCTGGGGGTAAGCGGAAGTTTGTTGACTGGGTATAGAGTTTCAGTGTCACAAGATGGAAAAATCTCTTAAGATCTGTTACACAACAATGTGAATATACTTAACACTACTGAACTCAATATCTACACTACTAAATTATATTCTTAAAAATGGTTATGATGATAAATTTAATGTCATAGGCTTAACCACGAGGAAAAGATAAGGAACCCACCTAAGATCACAGAGCTTATAAATAGCAGAAACATGACTAAAATCTGGGTCTTTTGACTCCCACAAAAAAAAGAAAAAAAAAAATGTTCTTTTTATCACAGAATATCAATAAAAAGCTTGTTGAAGCCAATCAGTTATAAAATGCATTTGAATGCGCCATATCATAAGGCATTAGGGAATACAAATCCAAATCACAATGAGATATCACTTTACAACTACCTAGGTGGCTATAATAAATAACGCAGGTAACAGCAAGTATTAGCCAGGATGTAAAAAATAATGAAAAAAGATCAGCAAGATTGCAGGATATGAGATACAAGATAATGTAACAAAAATTACTTTTGTTTCCCTCCCACCCCAGCCTCCTGAGTAGCTAGGACTACAGGCATGTACTACCACATTTGGCTAATTTTTTAATTTTTTGTAGAGATGGGGTCTTCTGGCCTCAAGTGATCCACTCACTGCAGCCCTCCAAAGTGCTGGGTTTACAGGTGTGAGCCACTGCACCCAGCCAGCATAGTTTTTCATACGATATAAAATAAAGTACATAGTTTTCACATCTAAAAATCAATCAGTGCAATACACCATATAAACAGAATAAAAAACAACTCTTTATGGATTCCTAAGGATTTTCATATACAAAACCACTATGTTGCCCAGGTTGGTGTCTAATTCCTGGCTTCAAATAAGCCTCCTGCCTGGGTCTCCCAAAGTGCTGGGATTACAGGTGTGAGTCACCAGAT